ACGCGCGCGAACGCGCGCCGCGCGTCGAACTACGCTGGGCGCCCCGGGCTTCAGCTGCTCCTGGGCCTCCTCCAGCGCCGCCTGCGGCTTCCCCGCCTGCAGCTGGGCCTCCGGCGGGACCCGGGGGACCCACCCAGGGGAGGGGGGGAAATCCGAGTCCGGGCGGATGAAATGGGTGGAACCACCAAAATAGGAACCCCAAAATGGGTGCACCTATCCCAAAATGAAAAACATTGGTTTTGACTCATCGACCAGGCTGTTTATGAATAGGGGGCGCTTTGGCCCTGCCACAAGTGGTCTGATTGCCCGCATTTCACCCAAAAAAGAAGCACCCCCCCTAATAAACAGGGGTTGATTAATTTGGGGTCAACCTTAGAGGTGCGATTCTTTCAAAGTTGGGCACCGTTCCAGCAGGTTTGCTTTCCAAACTGATGTCCAAATCCCAATTTTGACACCCACACAAACACACACACACACACACACACACACACACACATACTCTGTGGAAGGTTGCGAAACCCGCACACCATGAAACCATAACGTTTGTGGGTATTTATAGGTGGAATCATCATTCCAGTTCCTTAGGTGGCGAGGGCCATAACATCTATCCAAAGGGGTGATTTCCTTTGGGTCAACATTGGGATATGGGATGGCCCACATGGCTTCCTTTGGGGTTCCCTTTACAACCAAAAACGGCACCCTCGAACCAATGCACACCGAAATGAATCGGGAGGGGAGGTTTTTTTTTGGGGGGGGCCTAAAAACGGGGTCTGAAAGAGCACCTTGGGGCGGGAGTTGTTCCCTAAGAGGTTGGAAATTCCAAAACCGAGCTTCGGTTGAAAGGTCATTCTTACTGTGGATGGTTGCGAAATCCAGAAATCGCACCACCGTTAAGAAACCCTGGTTTATGGTCTGATTCTCCTGTAAATACCGATCCCGAGCAATTATGGTTTCCACCATGGTTTCTTTGGTGCGATCTCTGGATTTCGCCTCCATCCACAGAATGAGCCATGAACTCGGCCATCTCCGACCCGGCTCTCGAAGGCTCGATCCAATCTGCTTTGGTCTGAAGATGTCCAGGCCATGCCGCCGATACCCGATGATCACTGCTGGAATTCATGGTTCATGCTTGAAGATGTGACCTGACGATGCCCTACAAAATCAACCCCCCTTTCTGGATTGTCTCCTTTTTGAAGAAATGAACACCCCTGGTGGAAACCAGCAGGAACCAGCAAAAGCCATCTTACCCTATTTGGAGAAGCATCCAAATGTTTACAAAGGCTAGAGCGAGTTAAGATAAGCATTTGGAGGAAACGAGCTTCAAAGTGAACATCGAACATAGCTTGCTGGCGCTCAGTAGGGAATGAGGGAATGACAGGGAAAAAAAAACTTGTGGTTTCCTTTATTCGGGAATCCTTGGGTTCATTCCCACATTCCCTACTTATCGCAGCAAGATAGTCCAGAAAAAGTGCTGCAAGGGAAAATTTCAGGGGACCAGACAGGAAAAAGAGCCTGTTGATCCCCGTTAAACTTCACCAACCAGGAAGAAAAGACGAGCCTCCGCGGCACCCGCCCAATGCACCCCGCGGCACCTCAACGATGGCCTCCACGGCCCTGCCGGCCTCGCCCCGCGGGTTTTCGGAGTTCGGCGAGCCGAGGTGAGCGAAATTCAATCCAGGGTGCTTGGACATACGAGGGGGGGAGGGGGGAGGGGGGGAAGGCCTGATGTTCATACCATATCCTCTCCCCAAAACAGGTATATACCCCTTAGAAAGTGAGTTGGAAACCACGGAAGCCAAAGGGTATGAACAAGGGGTATGTACTTCCACCCTTAGATTGCAACCTCAGAGAGTCTAGTGGCTATGGGCGGCTATTAGTGGCAATTCATCACTATTACTGGCTATTAGTGGCTATTGGTGACTGTTAGTGATTATTATTAGCGACTACCACCTTTCGTCCAGGTAATAGAACCATCTACTAAAATGGCCCAGAAAGGCGTGTCTTGGGCGCCGCTCTTTGATGTGTGGGGTGCCAAGAAAAGGGTCCAAAAAGGTGCTCCCTTAGGACCTGCCGGATATGAGCGGACAACATTCAGCACCCTCCCACCTTTTTGGCGTGGAACATGACGTTCGGAAATGGTCCCGATAGAAGGAGAAGGTCCAAAGCAGGACACCCCGAACGTCAGGATCCATGTTAATTGGTGGGAGGGCATGTCCCATTGCAATAGAGGTTGGGGTGTGCCAGTAAACCCCCCCCCCATTCCCACAATAGTAACTTGAGTCACAATCAAAACCCGGTACTAAAATGGCCGACCTAGAACCGTGTAAAGAGTTAAGACGGCGGATATCCACAGCTACTTATGGTTGGGATTGGCCCTTACTAGCCTTCATCTACCCGAATCGGTTTTGAGCACGTGGCTCGGGAAGCCGAGAGGTACCGCCAGTTGCGCCAGAAGAAGCGTTTTCGGAACCCTGGCCCTCCATGTGCTGAGAAGTCCCCTGCAACAAATGAAAATATGTCCAGTTGTGATAGATTCCCATTAAAACCAACGGGGGGGGGGGGGAAAAGAAGAAAAAAACTTAACCAAATGGAAGTGGCTCTGAGAAGCTTTCAGAAAACACAGACTCCCATCGGTGGTTCGGATTCCCTCTGTGGGGTACCCCCGAAATTGAGATCAATGGGTTGGTAAATCCACCCGGGTTCCAACCGCAAATCGGGGGACATCCTGATGAGGTTTTGGGCGCCCGTTCTCTGGCAGCTGCTTTCAAAAAAAGGCCCTCAAGATGGGAGCCAGCCGCCAAATTGAGTTGGACTTCCACCCCTCCTGTTGAATTTTGAGCCAGCCATTTGGGTATGGGCCAAAATTAAACCAGGATATGGACCGCAGGTCTTGGTACCCATGTTTCCGCTTACCAGGGTTCCAGTTGAAGTTCCCTTTTTTGACCCACAGCCATTTGAGGACCCGGTGTTTCCCTGGGGAGGAATCCTCTCACGTTTGGCGCCATCCGCACCTTTTGTGCCCTCTTAAGCGAGACCTGACAATCTTCGACAAGCTGAATGCGCAGCCCGGATTCACCGGGGTCACGAAGAGTTTCCTCCGAATCAAAAGTTGAAATCAATTCCTGATGGCGTCCCTTGAAACAACTAAAGCCACTTTTGGAGCTTCCTCAACCCTTGTGGTGATTTTGAGCGATGGGTGTGTCCAATTCCTGGTGGGGCTCTCAACATGGACGTCGGACCCTTGGTTTTCCGGGAAACCGCCATTTGCGTGTCCGTCCCCTGGAAAAAAAACACAAAAAAATATGTCCAGGGTTTTGAAAAAAATGGAAGTCTCTATTGGTTCTCTCTTGGTTTGCCCTTTAGCAGGGATCCTCACATTACACACCTGAACATTGCAACTTGTAAATGGTGGTCTCCAACTTGATTTCGGTGTTGAAAAAGCCGCATGCTTCAAATGGTTACGCAAAATGGAGATCTTTGAAGGAGCCCTGAAAAACCAGGTTGGCCAAGTGCAAAGCAAATTCCTTTTGGAGGCCTCCAAAAAAGTGCTCTCTAACACCCTGGCTTTAGTCCCAAGCACCGCCTCCACTCGCTCCCCACGTCGACCCGTCGACCGAAGCCGCGCGCCTGCGCCCAGCTGCCGGCGTCCCGCGCCACCTTCGCCGCCTCCCGCGCGGAGGCCAGCGCCGACAGCGAGTCCTCGCGGACTCCAACTCGGGCGCGGTAAAATCCGGCGCGAGGAGAGCGACTCGAAGGTGTTGGGCGAGGAAAGCGGCGGCGCAACAAAAAAGACGGAAAAATGGGTCTTATTTATGTTGTTTGCTTGGTTTTTGTTTTTGTTGTTGTTTAAAAAAAAAAATGACCCTTTAGGGGAAATAGATGGGTTTCCCCGGTAGATGAAATTTTCAACCACCGGGCAAACCAGGGGAAGCCATCTATGTTTCTAGCGAAAGGACGTTTCTATGCGCTGGACGTTGCGTGGGGTGCATGGCTTCCTTTTCGGGGCAGATCTCCCGCAAGTTGAGAAATGTTTGGTGAAGCTCGGCCACCCAAAACCACTGAAAAGAGAAGGAGCCGGACGGCTGGGAAGCGCCAAGTCGTTGAGTTGGTACCCAGCGTCGGAATAAAACCAAAAGGAAACCCAAAGGAATCCGCTTTGAGGGTCCCTAGAAATCGAGGTTAAGTGGGGGGTGTTTCAGTGGAGGGGTTCAAATGTTCAAAGCACCAACGGGTACCTACAAAGGTACCAATGCAGAAAATACCAGTTCTCATTGACTCATGTCTGTTTCTCAGATCTGGACTGGCACGCAAGAAGAGCAAGCAAGGCAAGTCAAGCAAGAGCCCAAGACTTTCTGCAACAGTTACAGCCCTTCTCGAAGCAAACTCCAGTGGCATTCCTCCCCTGCTGAGCGCAGGAATGAATTCTTGAGGCGTCCTAGACACCCGTAACCGACACGGGAATTGCTGCGAGATTTTTGGCTTAGAGGATATTTGGTGTTGCTCTTGGGATCTTAGTTTCATGGCCGGCTTCTCTTTTTCCCTTTAAATCCCAACCAGAGGTCCGTCATTTGGAGAAACTTCAAGTTCAGTAAAGAATGGCGAATGGCCCTTGCACCTGCTTCGCGGCAGTCCATTTCTTTGCTCCGAACCAAGTGCGTGCTCTGATCCGGGACAAACCTTCCCGTCACAAGCTGCGAAGCCTGTCCCCGATCCCTGACAAACCAGGCGCTGGTTTTGACTCGCGCTCACCGTGCCGGTTCTCGGTCACATCCCACGCCCTCGGGCCGGAAAATGGCGCAGCGACCCTTTCAGCCACACCTCCTTTGTGGTTGGGAGGCGTTTTCTGGTTTTACACACGTGGCTGGGGCTCAAATAAATGTACCAAAATGGCACCTTGGCAAATGGAACCAAAGACTAAAACCTGCGTAACCCCTCCTGTTTAACTCTGAGCCACACCCACGTGTGTGTTTGATCCAAATATGCAGCAGTCCTTTTTCCGTTCAGCGTGCTGTTGCTGGCAACGAGCTACATCCTTCGAAGGCGTCACATCCGATCCGAACGCAAGAGTCGGGAATGGCCACGCCTGCCAAAGAGGTGCAATCTCGGAAGGCCCTGTCTCCGATCTCTGTGACAGAACTGGGGATGGTCACGAATGTCAATGAGCTGCAACCTGCAAAGGCACCACCTCCAATGACAGTCACAGAGTTGGGAATGATCACGCATTCCAACGAGCTGCAATCTCGAAAGGCAGCTACTCCAATCTCAGTGACGGAGTCGGGGATGATCACGCTTGCCAGTGAACTGCAACCTTGGAAGGCACCTTCTCCAATCACAGCAACAGAATGTCCAATGTCAGCGACAGAGTCGGGAATGGTGACGCATGCCAATGAGCTGCAGCCTTCGAAGGCACACTCCCCAATCTCAGTGACAAAACCGGAGATGGTCACGCTTGTCAGCGAACTGCAACCTTGAAAGGCAGAAAGCCTAATCTCAGTGACGGAGTAGGGGATGGTCACGCTTGACAATGAGCTGCAACCTTCGAAGGCACCTTCTCCAATCTCAGTAACAGACTGGGGGATGGTCACGCTTGTCAGTGAACTGCAACCTTGAAAGGCATAAAGCCCAATCACAGCAACAGAGTCAGGGATGGTCACGCTTGACAATGAGCTGCAACCTTGGAACAAGTCAAACCCAATCTCAGTAACGGAGTGGGGGATGATCACGCTTGCCAAGGAGCTGCAACCTTCGAAAGCACCCTCTCCAATCTCAGTGACAGAATTGGGGATGGTCACGACTGCTAACGAGCTGCAGCCACGGAAGGCATGATCCTCAATCTGAGTCACGCTTTCGGGAATGTCCACCGCCAACACATCTTCCACCTCGCAGCCAGATGTGGAGAGGCTTGAGCACGTCACCGGCTTGATGCTGAGGAAAGCCACTACTTCTGCACCTGGAATGGCCACCGACACCATCTCCTCGTTGTTCAACAGAGACCTGTCTCCGACAATCACCTCCACCACGCTGATGTTGCGCTGTGATTCATCTGCGCAGGCCAGCCACCCGCGCAGCTGCCGCTTGAACTCGCGGACAGTCACGTCTGCCAGCACTTCAAATGCTCGTTCCGCTCCAGACAGCTGCCGCACCGTAATCGTTCTAGCCATTGCAAACGATTCTTGCGCGCTCGGGATCGGGGCTCTTTACGAACTAAGAGTTGTGCGCCAACTCACGTCCCGTGCCAAAAAATGACCAAGCTTGCCACTGAAATGGTCCAAGCCCAACAAATAGGTCCAGCAACTCGAGCGAGCCAGCCGTGATTGGCTTACAAGAAGAGAACGGGGCCGAAGCTTCTCTCGGGCGCCCAAGGGTCCCAACAAACCAAAAGCCCAACAGCCCAACAACCCACCAGCCCAGGGCTCTCGTGAAGTCCTGATGGCTTCTCCGGGCCTGAATTCATCCCCAAAGCCACAAAACCCGGTGCTAAAATGGTGAACCCAGAACCATGCAAAGAATTCAGAAGGCCGATATCCGCTGTGTATGGCTTATACCGGGCTGAACCCGGAACCTTCTACCCGAGCTTTGAACTTGTGGCTCAATTGATGGTTGGGGGTAGCCAGGAGAGTGACGCTCTCTGGATTCTCAAATCTACCTGGAGTTGCCGCTTTCCAGTCCTTCGATGCTCATCAATCATGTTTGTTTTGCCTAGACAACAGGTGAGTCAGACACAACAACCCTTCGGTATTGTGGTGCTTTTTGTTGCCCCCCCGGGAGAAAGAAAAACTCGACCCCTTCCTAAAAGCCGATTCCATCCAGAAGCTGGACACAGACCATCTCTCAAAATCAAGCAGGAGTTCTGCTGGGTACAAAGCGGAGTTCCACACTCGTGGCAAGGCGGTGGTCCCGTTGGCTTTGACTTGGCCATGGGTCAAAATCCCGTACCCCCAGTGAACATCCCAATCTCCACTAAAATCGACTGAAATGGGTGGTGCACCTACCCCAAAATGGTACCATTGGTTTTGACCCACAGCCATTTCTGTGAGCTTGATTGAGTCGGGGATGATCACGCTTGCCAGTGAACTGCAACCTTGGAAGGCACCTTCTCCAATCTCAGTGACGGAACTGGGGATGGTCACGTTTTGCAGTGAGCTGCAACAATGGAAGGCATATCGTCCAATCTTAGTAACCGAATCGGGGATGGTTATGCTTGCCAAGAAAAGGCATCCTGCAAAGGTAGCACCTTCAATTTGAGTAACTGATTGTGGGATAGTCATGCTTGCCAGTGAGATGCAACCTCGATGACAGAATTGGGAATGGTCACCTTTGCCAACGAGCTGCAACCTCGGAAGGCGCTTTTTCCAACCACAGTGACAGAATTGGGGATGGTCACGACTGCCAACGAGCTGCAGCCACGGCATGATCCTGAATCTGAGTCACGTTTTCGGGAATGTCCACCGCCAACACATCTTCCACCTCGCAGCCAGAGGTGGAGAAGCTTGAGCACGTCACCGGCTTGATGCTGAGGAAAGCCACTGCTTCTGTACCTGGAATGGCCACCGACACCATCTCCTCGTTGTGCAACAAGGACCTGTCTCCGACATGCACCTCCACCGAGCTCATGTTGCGCTTTGATTCATCTGCGCAGCAGCCACCAATGCAGCTGCCACTTGAACTCGCCAACAGTCATGTCTGCCAGCACTTCAAATGCTCTTTCTGCTCCAGACAGCTGCCGCACCGTAATCTCTCTTGCCATGGCAGATCTATTCTACCAGCGGCTCTTTGAAATGGGGGGTGTCTTAGTATATTTGAACACAATGGTTTCTTTCTTTTGGTATCCCCTCAAATTCCAACCGATTCAGGATCCAAAAATCCAGTGTGAGAAACGCCCAAAGGTTCTTGGCTAGGTTCAAGCTTGTCTCGGCTTGTTGGCTCGCCACGTTTCGGCGCCGCTGTGGTTTTTCAATGCTAGCTGCGTGCAGCTTCGAGGGTGTCCTTGAGTCCCTGCTTTACATGACTTGGCCCAAGTGCAGCGGACTCTGGAGGAAATAGCAGTGGCACATCATGGCAAATGTCCAGCTCTCACAATCCTTTGTTTTGCTCAGCATTTGTGGGGGAAACCTGAGAAAGGACCTGTCTTCCTTGGAAGTAACTTGATACCCTTAGATACAGGCAGGAAATGATCGCTCACGAGGCTTGCACCGACTCACACCAATTTCCCGGCAGAACCATTGCTTCAAACCAAAGGCTTGCTCCAGCTCCGACTCACATTCCTTCTACAAAGACACCTTCTCCAATCCAGGTGACAGAGCTGGGCGTGGTCACGAATCCCAAGCTGCAACCTTGAAAGGGAGCTTCTGCAATCTAAGCGACGGAGTCGGGGATGATCAGGCTTGCCACTGAACTGCAACCTTGGAAGGCACCTTCTCCAATCACAGCAACAGAATCGGGGATGGTCACGCTTGCCAAGGAGCTGCAACCGTTAAAGGCATCAAACCCTATCTCAGTGACGGAGTCGGGAATGGTGACGCATGTCAATGAGCTGCAACCTGCAAAGGTACCACCTCCAATGACAGTCACAGAGTTGGGAATGATCACGCATTCCAACGAGCTGCAATCTCGAAAGGCAGCTACTCCAATCTCAGTGACGGAGTCAGGGATGATCACGCTTGACAATGAGCTGCAACCTGCGAAGGCACCTTCTCCAATCTCAGTAACAGAGTGGGGGATGGTCACGCTTGTCAGTGAACTGCAACCTTGAAAGGCATAAAGTCCAATCTCAGTGACGGAGTCGGGAATTGTCACGCTTGACAATGAGCTGCAACAATCGAAAGCACCATTTCCAATCTCAGTGACAGAATCGGGGATGGTCACGCTTGACCATGAGCTGCAGCCTGAAAAGGAAAGAAGTCTAATCTGTGTGACGGAGTGGGGGATGGTCACGCTGGACAATGAGCTGCAACCTGCGAAGGCACCTTCTCCAATCTCAGTAACAGAGTGGGGGATGGTCACGCTTGTCAGTGAACTGCAACCTTGAAAGGCATAAAGTCCAATCTCAGTGACGGAGTCGGGAATTGTCACGCTTGACAATGAGCTGCAACAATCGAAAGCACCATTTCCAATCTCAGTGACAGAATCGGGGATGGTCACGTCTGCCAATGAGCTACAACCGCGGAAAGCATGTCGTCCAATGTTAGTCACGCCTCCTGGGATTTTCACCACTAGCAAATCTTCCACCTCGCAGCCAGATGTGGAGAAGCTTGAGCACATCACCGGCTTGATGCTGAGGAAAGCCAGAACTTCCGCTCCTGAAATGGCCTCCGACAACATCTCTTCGTTATTCAACAAGGACCTGTCTCCGACAATCACCTCCACCGAGCTCATGTTGCGCTGTGATTCATCTGCGCAGGCCAGCCACCCGTGCAGCTGCCGCTTGAACTCGCGGACAGTCACATCTGCCAGCACTTCAAATGCTCGTTCCGCTCCAGACAGCTGCCGCACCGAAATCTCTCTTGCCATGGCAGACGATTCTTGCGCGCTCGGGATCGGGGCTCGCTCTTTACGAACTCAGAGTTGTGCGCCAAAAGAAGTCCAAGCTTGCCGCTGAGATGGTCCAAGCCCAAGAAGTAGGTCCCCAAAAGGATGGGAAGACGAAAAGCAAACGGCAGAAGGGCCCCCTAACTCTGAGAAACACCCGCAAAGGGGGCACGGCCGTTTTGCTTTTTGCTCGCTCACGAGAACGGATCCCTGCTGGCGTGAACACCAAAGTCCCCTCTACCGGTCATGATGCTGAAGAATGAGCGTCGCTCACTTCACTGCACGGAAATAAGGCAGCATCTCCACTCTCAGAAGCGTCAGGGATCGTCATGCGAGCTGCAACCCAGGAAGGGTGTTCCAATAAGATGCCACCGAATGCAGCATAAATGGGGGATGCTCACGTTTATCAACCAGCTGCAACTTTGAAAAGCACCTTCTCAAATCACAGCACCAGAATCCGGGATGGTCATGCTTTTCAATGAGCTGCAATCTTGGAAGGCATATCCAATCTCAGTCACAGAATCGGGGAAGGTTGTGCTTGCCAATGAGCTGCAACCGCGGAAGGCATGTTGTCCAATGTTAGTCACGCCTCCTGGGATTTCCACCACTAGCAAGTCATCCAACTGGCAGCCAGATGTTCAGAAGCTTGAGCAGGTCACCAGCTTGATGCTGAGGAAAGCCAGAACTTCCGCTCCTGAAATGGCCTCCGACAACATCTCTTCGTTCTTCAACAAGGACCTGTCTCCGACAATCACCTCCACCGAGCTCATGTTGCGCAGTGATTCATCTGAGGGCAGCCACCCGTGCAGCTGCCCAACCAGCCAACAACACACTTCGTCTGCGACTCTCGGGTGATCAGGCCAACCACGGGTGCGGTGTGCCCATTGTTTGAGGCCTCTTGGCTTCCATTCGGTGGAGACCCCTGGAAGAAATGAGAAAATATGTCCAGTAGTGATATAAACTCCTTTTAAAACCAACAAGGGAAAATATAAAACAAAAATACTCTTAAGCAAATGGAAGGAGGTAAAACACCCTCACGTCCCTTCCGAACATCCGGATGTTTGCAGAAGGGGCCCATTGCGAAGCCCGCTCCCGTGGCATGGGGTAGGGCTGCGTGTCGTTTGTTTTTGGTTCCTCTGACTGTGCTCCGAACCGCTCGGAGAAACCTTCCCTTTACCTTGTCAAGCTGCAACCTTGGAAGGCACCTCCGAACCTGACGAAGTTGGGCAGACTCACGCTCCAGGAGCTGCAACCTTAAAAGGCGTATAGTCCAATCTCAGTGACGGAGTCAGCAATGGTGACGAATGCCAACGAGCTGCAACCTTGAAAGGCATATCGACCAATCTCAGTGACAGAGCAACGAGCTGCAACCTTCAAAGGCACCTTCTCCAATCCCAGCGACAAATTTGGGAATGATCACGCTTTCCAGTGAAATGCAACCTTGAAAGACATCAAAACCTATCACAGTCACAGAGTTGGGAATGGTCACGCTTGCCAATGAGCTGCAATCTCGAAAGGCACTTTCTCCAATCTCAGAGATAGACTTGGAGATGGTCACCTTTGCCAACAAGCTGCAACCTTGGAAGGCACCTTCTCCGAAACTGGTGACAGAGATGGGCATGGTCACGCTTCCCAAGGAGCTGCAACCTTCAAAGGCGTATCGTCCAATGTCAGTGACAGAGTCGAAAATGGTGCCGCGTGCCAATGAGCTGCAGCCTTCGAAGGCACATACCCCAATCTCAATAACAGAACCGGGGATGGTCAGGAATGTCAAGGAGCTGCAACCTGCAACGGCAGCACCTCCAATGACATTCACGGACTTGGAGATGGTCACGCATTCCAACAAGCTGCAACCTTCGAAGGCACCTTCTCCAATCTCAGTGACAGAGTCGGGGATGATCACGCTTGCCAGTGAACTGCACCTTCAAAGGCATAAAACCCAATCTTGGTGACGGACAGTTGACAATGAGCTGCAAGGAGCTGCAACCTTCGAAAGCACCATCTCCAATCTCAGTGACGGAATCGGGGATGGTCACGTCTGCCAATGAGCTGCAACCGCAGAAGGCATGTCGTCCAATGTTAGTCACGCCTCCTGGGACTTCCACCACTAGCAAATCTTCCACCTCGCAGACAGAAGTTGCAAAGCTTCAGCACATCTCCGGCTTGATGCTGAGGAAAGCCAGAACTTCCGCTCCTGAAATGGCCTCCGACAACATCTCTTCGTTATTCAACAAGGACCTGTCTCCAACAATCACCTCCACCGAGCTCTGTTGCGCTTTGATTCATCTGCGCAGGCCAGCCACCCGTGCAGCTGCCGCTTGAACTCGCCAACAGTCACGTCTGCCAGCACTTCAAATGCTCTTTCTGCTCCAGACAGCTGCCGCGCCGTAATCTCCCTTGCCATGGCAGATCTATTCTTGGCTAACAGCAGCTCTTTGAAATGGGGGGGTGTCTCAGTATATTTGAACAAAATGGTTTCTTTCTTTTGGCATCCCCTCAAATTCCAACCGATTGGGGATCCAAAATGCAGTGTGAGAAACGCCAAAAGGCCAAAAGGTTCTTGGCTAGGTTCAAGCTTGTCTCGGCTTATTGTGGTTTTGGATGCTAGCTGCATGCAGCTTCGAGAGTGTGTGTCCTTGAGTCCCTGCTTTACGTGACTTGGCCCAAGTGCAGCGGACTCTGGAGGAAATAGCGTCCAGCTCTCACAATCCTTTGTTTTGCTCAGCATTTGTGGGGGAAACATGAGAAAGGACCAATCTTGCTTGGAAGTAACTTGATCCCCTTAGATACAGGCAGGAAATGATGGACCTTCTTAACCGTCGCTCACGGGGCTTGCACCGACTCACACCGATTTCCCGGCAGAACCATTGCTTCAAACCAAAGACTTGCTCCAGCTCCAACTAACATTCCTTTTACAATGCCTGAAGCTGCCGATGAGCTTCAGCCTTCGAAGACACCTTCCCCAATCTCAGTGACAGAGCTGGGCGTGGTCACGAATCCCAATGAGATGCAACCTTGAAAGGCATCAAAGCCGATCTGAGTAACGGAGTCAGGGATGGTCACGCTTGTCAAGGAGCTGCAACTGTTAAAGGCATCAAACCCTATCACGGTAACAGAGTTGGGAATGGTCACGCTTGCCAATGAGCTGCAACCTGCAAAGGCACCACCTCCAATGACAGTCACAGAGTTCGGGATGGTCACGTTTTGCAGCGAGCTGCAACCTGCAAAGGCGGCTTCTCCAATCTCAGTGACGGAGTCGGGGATGATCACGCTTGCCAGTGAACTGCAACCTTGGAAGGCACCTTCTCCAATCTCAGTGACGGAACTGGGGATGGTCAGGTTTTGCAGTGAACTGCAACCTTGGAAAGCATATCGCACAATCTTAGTAACCGAATCGGCGATGGCTATGCTTGCCAATAAGAGGCATCCTGCAAAGGTACCAGCTTTAATCTGAGTAACTGATTGTGGGATAGTCATGCTTGCCAGTGAGATGCAACCTTCGAAGGTGCCTTCTCCGATCTCTGTAACGGAGTCGGGAATGGTCGCGCTTGCCAATGATCTACAGGCTTCAAAAGCACCAGCACCTATCACAGTCGCGGAGTCGGGCATGGTCATGGCGGCCAACGAGCGGCAACCTTCAAAGGCGTTTTCTCCAATCTCTATGACAGAATTGGGAATGGTCACCTTTGCCAACAAGCTGCAACCTCGGAAGGCACTTTCTCCCACCACAGTGACAGAACTGGGTATGGTCACGACTGCCAACGAGCTGCAGCCACGGAAGGCATGATCCTGAATCTGAGTCACGTTTTCGGGAATGTCCACCGCCAACACATCTTCCACCTCGCAGCCAGATGTGGAGAAGCTTGAGCACATCACCGGCTTGATGCTGAGGAAAGCCAGAACTTCCGCTCCTGAAATGGCCTCCGACAACATCTCTTCGTTATTCAACAAGGACCTGTCTCCAACAATCACCTCCACCGAGCTCATGTTGCGCTTTGATTCATCTGCGCAGGCCAGCCACCCGTGCAGCTGCCGCTTGAACTCGCGAACAGTCACATCTGCCAGCACTTCAAATGCTCTTTCTGCTCCAGACAGCTGCCGCACCGTAATCTCCCTTGCCATGGCAGATCTATTCTTGGCTAACAGCAGCTCTTTTGAAATGGGGGGGGTGTCTCAGTATATTTGAACAAAATGGTTTCTTTCTTTTGGTATCCCCTCAAATTCCAACCGATTGGGGATCCAAAATCCAGTGTGAGAAACGCCCAAAGGTTCTTGGCTACGTTCAAGCTTGTCTCGGCTTGTTGGCTCGCCACGTTTCGGCGCCGCTGTGGTTTTGGATGCTAGCTGCATGCAGCTTCGAGAGTGTCCTTGAGTCCCTGCTTTACATGACTTGGCCCAAGTGCAGCGGACTCTGGAGGAAATAGCGTCCAGCTCTCACAATCCTTTGTTTTGCTCAGCATTTGTGGGGGAAACATGAGAAAGGACCAATCTTGCTTGGAAGTAACTTGATCCCCTTAGATACAGGCAGGAAATGATGGACCTTCTTAACCGTCGCTCACGGGGCTTGCACCGACTCACACCGATTTCCCGGCAGAACCATTGCTTCAAACCAAAGACTTGCTCCAGCTCCGACTAACATTCCTTTTACAATGCCTGAAGACACCTTCTCCAATCCAGGTGACAGAGCTGGGCGTGGTCACGAATCCCAATGAGATGCAACCTTGAAAGGCATCAAAGCCGATCTGAGTAACGGAGTCAGGGATGGTCACGTTTTGCAGCGAGCTGCAACCTGCAAAGGCGGCTTCTCCAATCTCAGTGACGGAGTCGGGGATGATCACGCTTGCCAGTGAACTGCAACCTTGGAAGGCACCTTCTCCAATCTCAGTGACGGAACTGGGGATGGTCACCTTTTGCAGTGAGCTGCAACCTTGGAAGGCATATCGTCCAATCTTAGTAACCGAATCGGCGATGGCTATGCTTGCCAATAAGAGGCATCCTGCAAAGGTACCACCTTCAATTTGAGTAACTGATTGTGGGATAGTCATGCTTGCCAGTGAGATGCAACCTTCGAAGGTGCCTTCTCCGATCTCTGCAACGGAGTCGGGAATGGTCGCGCTTGCCAATGATCTACAGGCTTCAAAAGCACCAGCACCTATCACTGTCACGGAGTCGGGCATGGTCATGGCGGCCAACGAGCTGCAACCTTCAAAGGCGTTTTCTCCAATCTCGATGACAGAATTGGGAATGGTCACCTTCGCCAACGAGCTGCAACCTCAGAAGGCACTTTCTCCCACCACAGTGACAGAATTGGGGATAGTCACGACTGCCAACGAGCTGCAGCCACGGAAGGCATGATCCTCAATCTGAGTCACGCTTTCGGGAATGTCCACCGCCAACACATCTTCCACCTCGCAGCCAGATGTGGAGAAGCTTGAGCACATCACCGGCTTGATGCTGAGGAAAGCCAGAACTTCCGCTCCTGAAATGGCCTCCGACAACATCTCTTCGTTATTCAACAAGGACCTGTCTCCGACAAGCACCTCCACCGAGCTCATGTTGCGCTGTGATTCATCTGCGCAGGCCAGCCACCCGTGCAGCTGCCGCTTGAACTCGCGGACAGTCACGTCTGCCAGCACTTCAAATGCTCTTTCTGCTCCAGACAGCTGCCGCACCGTAATCTCCCTTGCCATGGCAAATCTATTCTTGGCTAACAGCAGCTCTTTGAAATGGGGGGTGTCTCAGTATAGTTGAACGAAATGGTTGGTTTCTTTTGGTATCCCCTCAAATTCCAACCGATTCAGGATCCAAAATCCAGTGTGAGAAAAGCCCAAAGGTTCTTGGCTAGGTTCAAGCTTGTCTCGGCTTGTTGGCTCGCCACGTTTCGGCGCCGCTGTGGTTTTTCAACGCTAGCTGCGTGCAGCTTCGAGTGTGTCCTTGAGTCCCTGCTTTACATGACTTTGCCCAAGTGCAGCGGACTCTGGAGGAAGTAGCAGTGGCACATCATGGCAAAATGTCCAGCTCTCACAATCCTTTGTTCTGCTCAGCATTTGTGGGGGAAACCTGAGAAAGGACCTATCTTCCTTGGAAGTAACTTGATCCCATTAGATACAGGTAGGAAATGATGGTTCTTCTTAACCGTCGCTCATGAGGCTTGCACCGACTCACACCAATTTCCCGGCAGAACCATTGCTTCAAACCAAAGGCTTGCTCCAGCTCCGACTCACATTCCTGTTACGAAGACACCTTCTCCAATGACAGTCACAGAGTTGGGGATGGTCACGTTTTGCAGCGAGCTGCAACCTGCAAAGGCACCTTCCCCAATCTCAGTGACGGAGTCGGGGATGATCACGCTTGCCAGTGAACTGCAACCTTGGAAGGCACCTTCTCCAATCACAGCAACAGAATCGGGGATGGTCACGCTTGCCAAGGAGCTGCAACCTTGAAAGGCGTATAGTCCAATTTCAGTGACAGAGTCGGGAATGGTGACGCATGCCAATGAGCTGCAGCCTTCGAAGGCACATTCCCCAATCTCAGTGACAGAACCGGAGATGGTCACGCTTGTCACTGAACTGCAGCCTTGAAAGGCATTAAGCCTAATCTCAGTGACGGAGTCGGGGATGGTCACGCTTGACAATGAGCTGCAGCCTGAAAAGGCATTAAGTCTAATCTGTGTGACGGAGTGGGGGATGGTCACGCTTGACAATGAGCTGCAACCTTCGAAGGTACCTTCTCCAATCTCAGTAACAGAGTGGGGGATGGTCACGCTTGTCAGTGAACTGCAACCTTGAAAGGCATAAAGTCCAATCTCAGTGACGGAGTCGGGAATTGTCACGCTTGACAATGAGCTGCAACCTTCGAAAGCACCATTTCCAATCTCAGTGACAGAATCGGGGATGATCACGTCTGCCAATGAGCCACAACCGCGGAAGGCATGTCGTCCAATGTTAGTCACGCCTCCTGGGACTTCCACCACTAGCAAATCTTCCACCTCGCAGCCAGATGTGGAGAAGCTTGAGCACATCACCGGCTTGATGCTGAGGAAAGCCAGAACTTCCGCTCCTGAAATGGCCTCCGACAACATCTCTTCGTTATTCAACAAGGACCTGTCTCCGACAAGCACCTCCACCGAGCTCATGTTGCGCTTTGATTCATCTGCGCAGGGCAGCCACCCGTGCAGCTGCCGCTTGAACTCGCGGACAGTCACGTCTGCCAACACTTCAAATGCTCTTTCTGCCCCAGACAGCTGCCGCACCGAAATCTCCCTTGCCATGGCAGACGATTCTTGCGCGCTCGGGATCGGGGCTCGCTCTCTACGAACCAAATTGTTGGTGCGCCAACTCACGTCCTGCGCCAAAAGAAGTCCAAGCTTGCCGCTGAAAAATTTCTCCAATCCTTGGGACAAACAAATTGCCCTTTGAGTCCTTCGAGTGGGAACCAATGACCCGAATCGCCAAACATGGCGCGCGCTCAAACCCAAAGCGGGGGACAGACTGCCTTCCCCATGACGACTTGCGGCCTAAAGGCCTGATTTCGGGCAAACCCCCTGCAAAAAAAGGTTGAGCTTTGGCGAAAGGGAAAGTGAAGGAAAGCCAACCAGCCAAAAGGGCGATTCAAAGAGGTAAGCTAAGTCTGGCCATGCTCCCTGAAGGCCCGGAAACTTCGCCGGAGAGACACAGTGGGGATTGGAGCCTCTGAATGGACCTTTGCGATGGGGGAGGGTAACCTGAGAGAAACAAAGAGGAAAGAGAGAGAGACCGAGAAAAACCCGGCCCCAACCCGAGACCCTGAGAAATCCCACCCAACCCGAAAAAAATGACCGAGAACAACCCGGCCCCAACCCAAAAGAAGAAAAAAGGAAAAAAACGAAAAAGGCGGCGCCTGCAGCGTGAGCTGACCCCGGGCCAACTCCACGAGCCTCGGCGAGTCGAGACAAATCCGCCGGTGACCCTCCGCGGAGTTCTTCCGTTTTCCCCGATTGAAAACAAAAAACTGCGAAAGGGGGTACCTCGGAAAAAACAAAAAAAACTGCAAAAGGGGGTACCTCGAAAAAGGCGATGCCAATACTGTGAATCAATCCTGAAACCAGAACGTTTGTTGGTATGTACAGGGAAGTCATGAGACACCAGATTTCTTTTTTCCGGTGGTGCGAAATGGATTTCACAACCATCCGCAGTAGGGGGGGGTCAAAAACGGGTTCTCCTTCCGGCCTGCCCGAAAAGGTGGACGGAGCCTCAACAACAAAAAACGAGGCACCCATATGTGTTGCCTGATCCTTTGCTTCATAAAGCTCTCAAAAAACATATATTTATTTTTATATATACATATGATATATGGAAGTCACCACACCCAAGCCAACCCATTTTTGTTCCCAATTTCAAGGTTGCTCCGAGCCATTTACGATCAAGCCCCTCCCCCCCCCCCCCCCCGCCCACTTGTTGTTCAGGGTAAGGGGTCCCTGCGTAGTGGTTAGCTAGGATGCCGTCGTGCTCTCTACTCCCGCCATCTACATCTCGGTCCTCCAGTAGAGAGGTTAGAATACGGGTATCCTGTTTCTGTAGTCGATTTTAGTAGGGGAACCCTCCCCAAGAAAGGGGGACCTAGACATTGCAAAAACACCCAAATCGTGTCGTAATCTTCTGGCTACCTGTGTAAGAGAGACGAAGTCGCATTAGGCTTGGGTGCCCCGTTGCGTCTGGTTTTCGGGGACCCCGCGAGAATGGATTCCGGCGGTCCTTTTGGCTGCCCTAAAGCCACCGAAAAAAAGGGGCGCTGGCTCCAAAAACGGCACCCACGCATTGTTTGGAATCTTGATAGGCTCCTGTTTTGAGCAAGGGAAGGGGGTGGTAGTGAGATCCTGGACATTGTTCCATCTGGAAATGGGAAACTATTGGGAGGAAAGGGGACACCTTTTCGCTGGGGCGTGGCCTTCTTTTTTTTTGGGGTAACACCGTCTTGGACGGTTTGAGAGGGAAACAAAAAGGACACCATCCAACCTTGTTGAATGCTTAAGCTCCTTCATCCCTTACCGCAAGAAACCCAAAAAACCGGGCTCGGGACTCATTTGGGAGTCTCCCTCTCGACGTTTTGGGGCCCCAAATCCTCTTCCGAACGCTACCTGAGACAACTTGCTGAGCAATCCCGCAATGAAGTTATTTGCAAGGAGATGGGTTTTTTGTTTGTTGTGTTTTTTTTCTGTGTGTTGTTTTGTTTCTGTTGTTGGTGTGCTTCTTCCTTTTCTTTCTTTTTTAGCCTTTTGGGGGGCCTGGGGAACCCCCGAAAAAGGTTGGCTTCTGTTCATAGGGAAACAAGCATTTCGAAGGTTCCCTCAGGAGACAAAACCAGACGGAACTCTGAAAATTGAGACGCCGAAAAACCTCGAGACTTGTTCCTTGGCTTCTGCGCTGTGCCCTTTTTGGATGGTGTTTACATGGAAATGTTGAAGAGACCCAGCATTTTGGAGGGTCGCCCTACGATAAAATACAAAAAAAGACATCCTTTTAGGCCTAGAAACCTGAAATGTCCAGAAGAAAACAACCTGAACATGGAGAAAGAAGAAAAAGAAAAAACGCAAAAGAGACGTGCGTTTTGTTCAACATGTGTTCTTTTTTGGGGGGGGGCCTGACAGCATCGTCTTGGCTTTGCAGGGCCCCGGGCGTCTGGGCCTCGCCCACCCGACTCCCGCAGGACCGGAAGAGGTCCAGGGCCTTGCGCGCGGCCTGGCGCAAGCCGCGGTCGCGCTCGGTCGGTCGTCGCGCTCGGTCGGGGGCCGGGGGGCGTGTTCTTTGGCGCCCCGAAAGGGACAAAAACTGGGCGGCTCGTAGTCTTTTGGTTGTTTTTTTGGAAGGCGCTCTTTTGGTTTTGAGGGGAACGCCCCTTTTTGGTGGTTTTTAAAAAGGAAACCCAAGCAGGACCTTTAGAAGGAAACCCAATCGTTTGGGCCAAAAATGCTGGGTTTCCTGGTGTCCCTTTCGGCCAACCTCAAAACACCGGCCCCTCAAAAGACGTGAAGAAAACGTAATTCACATCAGTTTGAATGTGGCGCAAAACTAAAGAGGTGGGGCAGACCGCTGGTTTTAGTCTTTGTTTCCATGCAAGGTGCCATTTAGGGGATACCAGTTTTTTGGAGTGGCCATACACATACCTGTAAAGCGGCGGCTGTGTTTGTGTTTTCGGGTAGGCAACCGGACTAGCACTATACCTTCTTTTGTGTTTTGTTTCTATTGCGACCAAAAGGAAAACCGAGATCCGGTTTGGGGGGGGGTTCCCCGAACAAAGCCACGCCCAAATCGGCCAAAGTGATGTTAAGCTGGCAACAAAGGAAAGGAAGGAAGACATGGTGATGGGGGGCATGAAGTTGCATGAAAGGCTACGACTCGAAATGGTGGGCCCCGTTTTGGTTGATATCTCAAGGGAAGCCAAAAGGAAACCAACCATTTTAGATTAAGAAACGCCCATGTGGCTTGTACTCACTTTAACCCTTACAAACATGCTCCTGATACTGCCCGAATTAAAAATGGTTATGTACCCTGCGCTGAACGCCCTCGATGCGAAGCGCAGTCTCGTGGTCACAAAGTCCGAAGACACCTTCGTGAAAAGGCAGATTGAGTGCGCCCGTACCAGTTGGTGAATCCAGTCATTACCAATGTCCTCATTCGCTGTTGAAGTTGGGCTGTCAGATCTGGTGAAATCGAAACTTACAACCCCTAAAACACCAAACAACTCAAAGCATGAGTTTCACCGGAAAAGAAAAAACAACTAAGAAACCGGACAGGGAACCACCAACAAAAAAAAAAACTACCCCCTACCCTACCCCCCTCCCACCGCCCCCCCCACCCCACCCGACTCCGCCCCCTACCCCCCGCGCACGTCGTCTCGCGCGCCTCGGCGGCGTCCTCGGCGCCGGAGGCGAAGCGGCCGGCCGCCACCACCGCCCAGGCGCGGGCCTGCACCTGGAAGCGTCCCACGCCCAGAACCTCTCTGAGCGCCTGAAAACTTGCAGCTGGAATGTTCCCTGACAAAAAATACTTAACAAATGTCAACTTTGGCAAATGGATCTACACTCATTGGGATCACATCTATACACTACTCTGGTGTTCCATGGGCCTTTGACTTTGTGCATGCGAACAGAACCCGACAAAGTCAAAGTGGACGATCCAGGCCGCTAGAAAGTCCGGGCTTACCCGCGCGCGCGTTAGAAGCTGCGCGGAGGGGGGAGGGGGGGGAGGAGGGGGTTCCTGGCGTCCCTGTCGTCCCTGAAAAGGCGTCACCCAGGTGTTTTTGGGGTCCCGGAAAAGGCGTCCCCGGAACAAAACGTCCCTGAAAGGCGTCCAATGGAAACCCAAGAATCGTTGGGGTAAGGCTCTAGGCTGGGTGAGAAGTTCCCACAAATAAGCGTTGCTCAAACTTTTGGTTGGAAACGTTTGGTTGGAAACTTTTAGACTGTGAAAACTGGGGAAAGTTCTTGAAACGTTTGGCCAAGTGGCAAAACTCAAAACCCCCCAAACAAAAAAACACGCTAGAAGCCGGAGCCGGATCGAACAAATGGAAGTGGATCCAACATCCCCTCGACTTGCCGCGACAGCTGGGGAACAAGAAATGGAACGAACCGATTTTTGGGGGATTCCTGAAGAAAGGAAACCAAATCGGGGACATTTGTGTGTTCTTCTTTTCTTTTCTGGTGAGAATATAACCACGATTGTTTTACCTAGGGGCTTTTTGTTCCGTTGTTTCTTCCTTCTGGCCTCCTGTCCAATAACATGGAATCCAGAGATTCCATCTTATTGGAAAATGGTCTGTGCCAGGACTGGTTCCCCGTTGGGGTTCTACTTTGATTGACATAGATGGTGTCCACTGTTCAGGCTCTCCTGTGCCCAGGTCTTGTCCAGATGTTGTTTCCTTTTGGTGGTTTTCCCTTTCTTGTTGCCTCCTGGCAATTTTCCCTTTGGCGCGTCAAAATAAAAAGAATTTGCGGGTGCACAGCGGTTTAGCCGCTTAGATTGCCCCTAACTGGTGCTTTGGCTTGGCGGTTGGACGCGTTGGCTACCTTCCCCATTTGGGTGCACATGAATGAACTGGGGGGGGGAATCTCCGGGAACGCCAGACTTTGTCAAGCGTGAGTCTACCGTTTCGGGCGGGGTAGTGCACACTGCTTGCTCCTATCTGACACAAACCAATTCTTGAGCTGTTCATGATGGGTGATTTTTGGAGAATTGGATGAAAAACATATGAACAATGGGGAATGGATGCGTGGCTTTGCAGGATAAGGCGCTACAAGCATACTGAAAGCACGGGAACACGCTTTATTTTGTAGACATCACAAAACTAAAAGCAACTTATACCGCCCTGAAACGGAAGACATTTAGTGCCGCCTTGAAAAGTGCTCAAAAACCGGGAAACGCAGGTACGGTTCAACATGTTCATGTTCAGGCGTTCCAAAAAGGGGTTTCCCTTTTTGGAGCATCCCCTTTTGGGTGCATGTTTTCCGAAAACCAAAAGAACACCAACCCGGGTTGCATTTGTTGACTCTAAGGTAGACTTGCATAAACCCAAGAATCGTGTTCCCTTGTCAAATCAATCCTTTTGGTTTCTGCGGTCAAAAGGAGTGGTCCAAAAAGTTGGAACTCTGTTTCCAAACCCAAAATCCTCTAACCTGGTTCCTGCGTCTAGCTTGGACTGGTCCAAAAAGCTGGAACTTTAAAACCAAACCCAAAATCCGCGGAACCTGGGTCAACCCGAAGACTACACACAAACCAAAAAGCGAAGACCACACACCCACCGGAGACAACAAAAAGGAATAAGAAAAAAACGCGGCACGCCAAACAAACAAAAAACAAACAAACAAACAAACAAACAAACAAACAAACAAGAAACAAACAAACAAACAAACAAACAAACAAAACAAACAAGGAAGAATAACAAAAACACAGAAGAAAAAACATGAAAAACAATAAAAAGAAAGAAAACAAAAAAACAACACAAAAAAAAAAAATGAAAACGGCACGCCAAACGAACAAACACGAGCGGCACGCCAGCGGCACGGCGACTCAACGAATCGTCGCGAGATTTCTCGGTCCTCGGGGTCGTTGACCTTCTGCGCCACGTCCAGCACCAGGTTGGCGGCCTCCAGCGCCTCGAGGCCGGAAGGAAGCAACCCGCTTCGTCGCCCAAAAACCGGAAACCCGAACCGTTGTGGGTATGCCCCTTTATTTTGAGGCCACCTTTCTTGGCCGCTTTGTTTTTTCAAGGAGACTAAAGGAAACACCCACCATTGCATGACACACATAAAACACATCCTTATCTTGGTTGCTGCGGTTCTCACTGAATGGGGGTTTAGTGGGTTTGACCCAACTTGATTTCAACCGAAAAGTTAAAGTCTAAAGATCCGTTACCCAATAGCAGTCAAGAAACATATGAAAAAGCGGCGCCCTTGTTGGGCTGGAGTTTGGTTTAGGGACACCAAAAGGAATCCGAGTTTGGGGGGCCTATTCCAAGACACGGTTTTTTGGAGGGAATGGTTCAGTAACTTGCGATGGGATTCGAGAGATGCAGGGGGCCTGAAAATTGATTTCCGACCTCGAGGCAAACCATCCATCCCTTGCTGGTTTCCTTTCAGGGGACCCCCAGGTTCATTCCCTCGTTCCCTACCTGCAGCACCAGCAAGAAAAGGTCAACCTTTGAAAATCTCGACTAAAACTGGTGGCCAAATCAAACCCAAAAATCAGATCCGGTTGATTCGCTTTGGGCAAGTGAGCAAATGTCCGGGGGATCCCAGCCCCAGTAGCCAGCTATCCCCAGCTCAGGGGAATCCCCCATAAAGCTCACTACACGACCTGGCTGATACCTCTGGGCTTAAGTCGACAAAAGGCTCCGAACAGGACCCATCTACGGGTGCTTTTGTTTGGGAGGCTTACGGAAAATGAACATTTGAGAAAAGAAGGTTGACTCCGAATTCCCATTTTGACACAACCAAATTGAGGACGAACCCAAGGAAAAACCACCCAAAGGTCCAAATATGTTGACGGCCAGGAGCCCATAACCAGCAACCCCCCCGAATGTCTACAGCCCACGGGCCCAAAAGACAATCCATTTCCAGTGGAAACTTCCTATCTTGGAGTCTTGCAACTAAGCCATTGTTCAGAGTCCCAGTTTGATGCCCAAATGGGGGCCATGTTCTGTTTGGCCGAAGCCTTCCTGGTCCAAACCTGCCGGAAATCCAAATCCAAATCGTGTCCGATCCAAACCACCAAGGGGAACCTGAAATTTCTTGGCTGGAAGAAGAGGACCCCGGCAAAGAATTAGACCATGTTTGCCTGGTGAGTGGAAAACAAAGGGAACCCCAAAAAAGCAAAAAAAAGCAAAAAGGGAGCTAATTCTGGTGAAGAAATGAGGGACTCTGCAACATGGTGGGTTGTTTGGTGGCTTCCGCCCCAACCAGATGTTCGTTTGCTGGAGGTGGCTGGAAATGCCGAGGTTCCGTGTTTCCCCTGCATCACAAAACGCAAGCAACACTGGCAACGGGGAAAGCGAGGTCGAAACCACCCGCAAGAAATGAAGTACAGAGACCCTGACAGCCCCCAAAAAACCGCCTAAGGTGTTCTTCGCTCCAGTTTTTGGGGAGACGGCTTTTTTGAAGGGCAAGCAAAAATACCCACAGGATGTTCAACGGAAAAAAAAAGCCCATCAGCAATCAGCCAATACTAGCAACATTGAAAAGTCCTCTTCAGTGACTGCTATTCCTTTCCTTCCAAAAAGGACACATCAGGGCCCCTCGGGCCAAGATCAATGTGGAGGGAAGCTCTCCTCAACACTCCATTCCTTGGGTCGTGGTCCTAGGCTGGAATTAGGACCCCAGCAAAAACATACCTTGTTTGCCTGGTTAGTGGAAAACAAAGGGACCCAAATAAACATTATTGAAAAAGGGGTGTCACAAAAATCCCTTGCGATCTGGAAAAAGCAGCAGGGGTGAAAATGCCCAACCCCATCGAACGCTTGCTAGGCCTTCTTCCCGTCACCGCGCTGCAAGTGAGCAGGAGCAACCACCTGCAACGCAGTCAGTTGAGCTGCCTGCTGTGTGCGGTTTGATGTCCTAAGAGTTGAAAGTGCAGGGAAGTTCTCAAACAGCTGTTCTCAAGCACTTCGTTTCACGTCAACATAGGTTCACTTCTCCTAACAGTCGCGTTAGTTGAAGTGAGCCCATGAGCAAGAATCCAATCCAAGGTTTATTGTTGTCCGGGGCTCGGCACAAAAGTACTTGCCCCCACAACGTTTCAACATATAGGCATCAATTTTGGTTGACCTTTTGGTGAACATCAAAATTCGGTGGGGGATCCTATCCACCACCCGCGTCATTGACATACGTTGGGCTCAAAACTCCCTCTTCTTTGAATCTGGGGCTAGAGAGCCCTGTGATTTGGTTTTTAAACTCCTTCTTTGGACAAAACGCTTGTTGGTTGCACAAAGCTCCCAACCCCCTTCTTCACGAGATGGCCGTGCAAGCCACTTCATACCCGGAAATTCGACCTCGACCCCGAAAATCGACGTATCCTTCGCCTCCAGCAAGACATCCGCCAGTGCCGGCCAGTCCTGTCGACCAGGTCCCAGGTGGATTTGTCCAGTTAATGTTCACCCCATATTCATCAACCCCAGTTTGTTCATAGGAGAGTGTCCCTGCGTTTAGTGGGGAATCAGACCACATTGGGAGGGGCCCCCAAAAAATGAACTGAGGTTGAGCATTATGGGGTCAACATTAGTTATTTTAGAGGGAGGTCTGGGTTTTTCAGCCAAGGGAATCCAAGAGCAGCGATACTGACATACCAAGCTTACGAACATCCGCAGAAACGACAATAATTCCCAAACTGAAACTAAAAAACCTCAAGCAAAGGACTCTGACCCCGAATGATTTTCTTATTCCAATACATGCACCACCAGGGGCTGGGAGAATGGTGCAACCAATGGAAGTGGGCATGGGCACGACGTTCTGTTTTTCCAGGCCACCTGTGTGTGGGGAATTGTGAGGAAACCAAAAGGAAAGCGCTCATTTGGGGGCGGGAGATTCCCCGATTTTGAGACAAACCCGCAAAAACCCTGCGGCCGTGTAACGAGTGTTGACCTTTGCCGCCAGGGAACTTCTGGGGATTAAATTGCTGTGGAAAAACCGCCAACGAACAGCGGGTCAGAAATCCGTTTTGAGAAGCTCCATGGATTATATATATATATATATATATATGTTTGTTATAATATATATATATATATGTGTATAGCGACTCATGGACTCATGGACACACCTCTTCAATAAAACTGGACCCGTTGCGACGTGCCTAAGCGGACTTCGCAACCATCCACATGGTCCAAACTCCCAACAAACCAACGGCTGGTCAAAACAAACGGTACTCAGAATGGCTTGCCCTGGTAAATGTTAACCCCGGATTCATAAACCCCTGGTTGATTTTGATCGGGGGATGTCCAATTCCTTTTAGTGGGTATTCAGACCACTTTTGGAGGGAACACCCCCCTAAAAAATGTGGGACGGGTTTTACTTAGATCCGGGGTCAACATGAAATGGAAACGGATGGGCTAAAAGCTGCGGTCCGCGAAATTCGGTGGCTTCAGTTTGACCCAACCAAACTCGCAGCCAGCGCGCGTCTCAGACGCGAAAGAGACGCGAAAAAGACGCGAAGGAGACGGCGGCGCCTGCTCATCCCCCCCCCAAAAAAAAAGAAAAAGAAAAAAAAACACAAGCCAACCGAACAAAAATGCCCCCCCCCCCCCAAAAAAAAAAAAGAGAAACAAACACAAAGAAAGAATAAAAAACAAAAAAACTCCCCAAAAAAAAAGGAGAAGAAGAAGAAAAAAAAGTCCTGCTCCCGCTGGAAGTAGATCTCCGCCTCCTGGGCCATCTGCGCCGCCTTGATGGGCTCCGCCTACTTGAAGCTCGCCGCAAGATCGAAACGCGGGCGAAACTTTCGCCGCGCGCTTCGCGGCTCAACGAAGCGGGCGAAGCGTGGCCGGGGATGATATCCCCTGAGCCTACCACTGGAAAACGGTCCCGAAAAATAAGTCTACCTGGAGCAGGGCTGTGGGAAGTGACCATTTCTGTGATACAGCAAAAAGGGCTTCCCAAAGACTAACCCCCCCCCATACAAAGGGGGAGATTCCCTTGTATCACAGAAGTGGGGATAAACCCCTTGAAACTTGGGTCCATGACCCCTGCAATTTTGGGGAAAATGACCAAGCACTTTTGAAGGGTTGTTAGGGAGACTCCAGGCTGTCGCTTCGGCCGAGGTTCCGAGATAGCATCAAGCGATCGCCTTTTTCATTGACTGCTGCGATCGGTTTTTGGGGTTTTGAGTGCATGGAAAAAAGCTGCAACCGGCGATCCAGGGTTGTTTTGTGCTCGGGGGCCCGAAACAAATCCCTCACTCGGGCGTATAGGGGCATGGTGAATTTGTTGACCCCTGAACCATCAACCGGCTTTGTCTATATTTTCCGGCTCCTGGAGAAGAAAGAAAAAAAAGGTCTGAATCTCCCCACTATGGGGACACCCGGCGATCGAAGGACGGGGGTTGATTCATCCGGGGTTCCCATCGCAGGTGTTGTTCTTGTAATGTCCAAGTCTTTGGAGTTCCAAAAATGAACAGTATAGTTCACAGCGCCCGCGTTCCAAGGATATCCAGCCCCTCCCCCCTCCCCCACCGGTTGCCAAAAAACACGAAAGGCTGCCGAAAAGAAAAAGAAAAGAAGGCTGCCGGAGAGTTGAAAACGACACACCCAGTTGGTTTCTTTTGGTCTCCCCTTGAAAACTACGAGATCGTGATTGTGTCCCCCTATAACGCGAGAAAGTTGCGAGTAAACCTCGTTTCCAAATGCTATTAGTTGTGTGGACAGCAAATGGCAAACCATTGTGACATGGAATGGTTCTCATACAAGTTTGTCCCAAAATAGGAGAACTCCAATAAGCGCTTGCTTCATTTCCCTGACTGCAACGGTCCATGCACTAAGTCGCTCGCCCTAGCAAAGACCAACAGCTGACCAAACTGTGTATGTTTTTTTTGTTTTAATGTTTTTTTTTTCTGTGTGTTGCTGACATCAGATTTGATGTGACGTGAAAGGGGCGAAGAAGGGCGATTCTCTAGGTCACACACTTCTCAAATGGTATTCCTACAATCTGCTTCCCCTTGACGTTGACCTCATATTGATCAGCCCCAGTATATCAATAGGGGGTGTTTCTGGATTTAGTGGGGAATCAGACCACTTTTGGAGGGGAACACCGCGCTATCAACATGGGGTCAGTATTCTTCGGTGGTCGGGATTGGCAGTTCGCAGGTCAGGGGATGGTGTCCCACTTTCCCTCAACAAGCGCCAGGGGTTCCAATCCCCCAACCGACCAAGGGACCATGTACCCGACCAAAACACCACAAGCATACGGCTCGCCGCCTAAAAAAACCGCAAAGTGCGGAGGACAAAGATGGGCCGGCCAAATTCCCCACTTAGCTCCAGCCAAACGTAAACCCCAGACCACCAAAAACCCAGGGGCAAAGGGCGGGCTGCGGCATAAAAAAATGAGGGTGGAATAGACTGGAGGAGGGAATCAACCTCCAGACCGAAAGCATGTGAATGTCTTCTGGGGCTTGCAACCCGTTATATATACAATGAGGAATCTGCCCCTGGATTTCTACACTTTTGTCGGGGAAGACTCGTTTTATTTTCCCCTTGTCAGTCCACTTTTGGGGTTTGCGCGCTTGGCAAGTGCTTAGCTGAATCCACCCGTCAAACGAACTAATAGTTCGGTCCCCTTTGCAAGAAATCCAACAGGGTGTTTGAACATTAACGGTTGATTTATGGTTTTTAAACAGTTGCATACCCCCCAGGTCGCCACCCAAAAAAACAACAGGGCAACAAACGACTTGCTGGTGCTCAGTAGGGAATGAGAGAATGAGCCAGTCGGGCTTCCCTTGAGAAACCATAGGGGATGGTTAATAAGGATCATTCCATTTATCATCTGCCTATCGAACCAGCAAGACGAGAAGAGATTTCGTCACATCGCCTTGGCGAGATGCATTGCCGCCTGCGTAAACTGCAGCATGGCCTGCGCGTCGGACTTCGGACTCCGACTCTGAGGGTTTTTGTACACCCTGGGATTGGGACATTTTATCCGGAAATGTGCCTAAATGGTGTGGTTTTCCCAGTGGGTGTATTCCCAGGGTGGGGAAAAACAAAACTTAGACCGACTCGAAGTCGAAAAATCACACTGCAGAGGACTGGGCTTGAAGAACCAACTGGCGACTCCAAATGGAATCCAAACCTAAGGTCTGGCCATGATCAAACAAACTTGGTTGACGTTGGAAGGGAGCAAAAATTTAAATTTCAGCAGTTAAGTGGGGATTGCCCACTAAACCACAATAAGCAAAAATGCAAAAAGTGTCTCCCAACAACAACCATGAAAAACCTGCTGGTCTTTTTCTTGCGATCGGTGCATTCGAGAGATGGGGGGAATGAGACATGGCTCCGGACCCCAGGAAAAAACCGAATCCCTTGCCGCTGGGTTCCTTTCAGGGACCACTGAGCACCGGCAAGCCAACCAAAACGGGCGCTGCTTGGCGAATGACCTCTTTTCAAAAACCAAAAGACACACACACACACAAACAGAAAGAAACCAGAAAACAAAAACATCTGGGCAAAAAAAAAGAAGAAACACGCCGGAAATAAGGAAGGACCCAAGCAAAGGACCTTCATCATGGTGTTCTCTCATCTTCTCCCCGGAATCGGTGAGCTCGTCCGAACACCCAAGCTAAGGACACAGCTGGGGGTTTGGATTCGGCTTTGAACTTTTTCTTGTAGAGGGTAAATGGGGAACACCTCACCAATCCAAAACCCCGTGGAAGCTGGCAAAACAGGCCTGTAAAGAGCCATCTCAAAAAAGTGAGCTTCAGCATGGTACCGTGCAGAGACATGGGAGCCCCAACAGCTTCGACCCCTCGGAAATAGCTCTTAGCTCAGCTTTCGAAAGGCAGAAGTAGGACCTCTGCAACTCGCTGCTTGCCTGTGCTCGATCGAAAACGAAACATCTCCAAAACCTCTTGGGCCTGTGCCTGGTCCCTGACTGATGTCTGGGGCAAACGAGGCTTTCCAAGAATAAGGCCCGCTGCCACATGTTTGGTTGTCTTATAGGGCAAAGGCCAAGGAGTGTTCATCCATAGGCAGGCCAATGGTGTGCAGAACAAGCCACTCCCTCAAACAACGAACACAAAAAAGGCTGCCAACCAATGTTGTGCTTGCTAAACAAATTGCTTTGTCAAACCAAGAGTGTCACTCCCCCGAACTTTTCTCAGCAGTTAGGTTTTCCCAAATACCATTGGCTCACCAAAGCTTTGCTTTACCAGGAGTCTCCTTCTGACCCCATGTTACCCAAAAGAAACAGGTCACAGCCCATCTTTGAAGGGTCAGAAGAAAAGAAATGAGACAAAAAAAGCTCCTGATCTAGCCCAACTAAACCAGGCAGGAACCGAACTCAAACACGGGAATCGGATTTGGGCGCGCCTTCGCCTTTTGGCCGTGCCGTTTCCAACTGGAGTTGGACGAATCAAACTCCGCTTTTGGGCATGAGACCTTCCAGATCCAAACCACCCGTTAAATGGTGATCAGCTGGTGGGAATCGCCAAATCACTGGCTTGGAGGTGTACAAATCGGGGGCTCAAAATCAGGGCACCAATCCAACCCGGATTGAACCCCTGGTTGATGAAGGGGTCCCTTTGGTGGTTGCTTGAATCCTTCAAGTGCCTAATCCTTTACTTGGGGTGACCCATATTAGGATGGGTTTTTCTAGCTTCGCAACCCTTGCTATGGCAGTGCAAACGAAACACTGCCCGGCATTCTGTTTGCAGCCCCCCCACGAAAAAAACTAAATACCTGCCAGCCCCCACTAAAAGCCCTAAATACCTGCCAGCCCCCACAAAAAACCCTAAAAGCCTGCCAACCCCCACTAAAAACCCTAAAAACCTGCCAGCCCCACACACCGACAAAAAGAAACTGAAAACCTGCCCTAGCCAACCACGGGCGAAGCTGAGCAACGTGCCTCAGCTCTTCGGCCATCCCGCGCGGATCGCTTCAAGCTGGCGGCCTCCTCCTGCGTATCTTTTGTTGTTCCCTTGACAAAGTGTTGAAATCCAGAGTTGATTCCTTTCCCATTCAACCATCGTTGTTTTCGAGAACTCAGGTGTTTCCACCGCGGGCTTTTGGAAAGAAGGATTTCTAGAAAACGGTTTAGATTTGCTTTTTGCGGAAATATTATACAGGTCGACATAATGAGACACCTTTTTTCTTCTATCATGAAGTGTCATGACTCAATTTAGTCGAAAAGTACCTCAAACCGGTATATAGCCTTTGTATAATCTAGTGTACCTCAGACCCTTGTATCAAAGTACCTCGAACACCCCAGTCTAATTGCTTCCCCCTTCCATGGCAGTAAAAATGAGCCCATGTTGACGTGTGTGTTCATGTTCATATCAAGTAACTATTGATATCTAATAAGTGTTAATTGATAATTATGTTAATAATAAGAATAACAATAACAATAAGAAGAATAAGAACAAGTAAAATGGACCTTCATGTACAAACCCCATAGGTTGCATATTTGTCTCAAGGTACAAACCCCATTGGGTTGCAGCGGTCCTTGACCTTCTTGAGGGCTTCCTCCGGCTTCACATCCCCCCGCTCGATCTGTGCCAAGAGCAGCGGCCCTCGGCATAGCAGGGTCTTTTTTAACCCAGGATTGATATCATTGGGGGGGTGTTCCCTCCAAAAGTGGTCTGAATCCAACCACTAAAAGGAATTGCACACCCCCCGATCAAAATCAACCAGGGGTTTATTCATCCGGGGTTAACATTGGGTCACGGGTGGGAAGCCTCCAAACTCGTCGGAGGCTTTGAAGCAAAGACGGGGATTTGGCCGGTTTCTAGGGGATTTGACCAGAGATGGACCGGTTTTTAGAGGGGATAGATGCCGAATCCCGAAGAAGGAGACAGATATAAATCCTCAAGTTACTGTAAAGCACAACTGGTGGTTGTTTCTTGTTACACTGGCACCCTCCTGGGAGATTGGATTCGCACCACCAATCTAGTTGACCCTCCACAAAGAACAAGAACATAACTGGGCTGCTAAAAGTTTAACTTTTAGTGGGTCAAATGGAAACCCCCACTAAACGAAAAAAGTCTAAAAAGCTAAGGGGATGGCTTTGCTTGCCTGACCCCATCGACCCATCTTCCGGTCTGTGCCTCCCAGCAAACCATGCCAAGCCAAATTCAAACACGGGAGAATCCGAATCAACCCTTCAGTCCTCATATACCAAAGAACTGAATCCACCCTTGCGTCCGAAAAAGAAGGGGGGGTGATTTCCCCCTTCAGGCTTCACTCGCAATTATTAAATTATGATGGAGAACACAAAACTTGGACAAACGAACCAGCGGGGGTACGGAGGGAGCGAGGATATGGGGACATTCCCGTGGCGCCATTTCCCATATCAAACTTCGTCAAGGTGCATCAAACGGGGGAATCCTCTCGTATCCCTGGTTATCCCTGTATCCCTGCTAGTTGGTTTCCCTGAAAAACAAAACAAAAAGCAACCTTGAGTCATCATTCACAAAAAGGGGGGGGGGGGGGGGGCGTGAATCCACCCTTCAGTCTTCACTCGCAATTGTGGTCACAAACACAAAACAAAACAAAAAAGCAGTTGCGCAAGCGCCCCATCTTCCGGCCGAGGGGCGTAGTGCCTCAGCCACGCCAACCTGATCCTCGGGTTGCAGCCAAATGGTTGGTGTGGTGTCTGTCTTGTCTGTGTTTTGCTTTGTTTTTTTTGGGGAGGGACCCAAAACGGCATCGGTGTTCCTATGGGTTCCCACAAAAAACAAAAAAAAGGCCCCACATTTGGGCTTGCCTAAAAATAGGAAGCCGCAAACAGGTTACGCCATACAAAAAAGTCCATCCACATGCCCTCCATCCCTTTTCCATCACCAATTCACAGCTAAGAAAAGCCGGTGATGGGAAGAGATGGATCCTTCTCAACCTTTCCAGCTAATGAATGCAATTTGGCCGGGAAAACGGGTGTGGGAGTGAAAAGGCGAACCGACATACAGCCGGCATCAGCATCCTTTGCCAGCTCTCGGGGCTCAAGAACCTGCTGTCCTCGGCGAGCCACAGATCAACTGGACGAATCCCAGACCAGGCAATAGCTAGTGCACTCCGGGAGTTGGCGCGCTCTCTCTTACCTCTGCCAACTTCTGAGATTATTGATGGGAGAAGGAGAGAGAGAGCGAGAGCGAGAGCGAGAGCGAGAGCGAGAGCGAGAGCGAGAGCGAGAGCGAGAGCGAGAGCGAGAGCGAGAGCGAGAGCGAGAGCGAGAGAGAGAGAGAGAGAGAGAGAGAGAGAGAGAGAGAGAGAGAGAGGAGGAATCCCAAATGCGAGGAATACCAAGTAGATAGGAAAAGCATTTGGGCGAGATTTATCCCTCTCCTTCATCTCCCAACCCCAAGTATTACCTAATTAACGAATAGATGTGTTGGGAGTGAGATGAATGGAGGAAAGGTTTGGGATAGGAGGGCTTCACTCGCCAGGCGGTTGACCTTCCTTCCCTTCATCATGTGCGCTCACCCATTGACAAGTTACCACGAGCGAAAAGCAGCGGGGAAATGAATGAGTGATGAAAGAAGGATGAAGGAAGAGTCCCACCCGCTGGCCGGATCTTTCCAGCGGTTCCTCATGATGTCCTCTTCCGACATCTCCCTCAGTCTCGCTCTTTGTCTCTGCCTCTCTCTCCAATGGCCGCCATTCCTTCGTCTGGACGGGCTATTTCCTAGAGACACTGTCCCATCCAACAGCTTTCGAACAGTCAGACTAGCGGATGCCAATGACCAAGAGATAGAGAGATAGGAATTGGCGAGATATGGCTTACTCACTCACTTTCCCTCTCCACATATCTCTTGTCCTGTCGTATCGTTCAGCTGTCTAAACTCTTGGAACATGTTTTTCAGCCATTCACTCACCTTTAACATCTGGGCGGCCGAGGCGCGGCGGCGGCGCGGAAGGCGTCGAGGGCCTCCTGCGCGGGCGCCAGCGCCTCCGAGGCCTGCGGAGCTGTCGGGCGGAGAGCGGTGGAGGGTAGAGGGTGGGGCGGTCAGGGGTGGGGGGGGGCAAGGGGGGGGAGGAGGGGAGAGGGGGGCCAAGGGGGGGGAGGAGGGGAGGGACGGGAGAGGGAGGGAGGAGGAGGGAGGGGGGCAGGGATTCCTAGCCATGAATTAAAAAAGAGGAGGGGCAAGCGGGGGCAAGTGGGGGCAAGCGAAGGGGGGATGGGGGGGCAGGAGGGGACGGAGGGGGGCAGTTTCCTAGCCATTTCTCTTCCAAAACCTCCAACTTCCACTTCCAAACGTGGCGATTGTCGTGGCAACCGTTAGTAAATCGATCAACTCTGGATTTGTGGAAATCCAGTGACCCTTGAGGGTGGGGGGAGGGGGGAAGAGGGGGAGCGGGGACAAGTATGTCACCTGGGATGTTCCAAGTTTGTAGGTTTCCCCAAGTGGTTTCTTGCTTTTCAACCCAGTGACCAGGGTTTTGCAAACTTTGTCAGCTTTTCGTGGCGTCCATTGGTTTTTACTCAAGTAACCAAGGATTGTCCAACTTTGTAGGTGTTTGCATTTTTCCACTTAGGCACTTGCTGAGTGGATTCAGCGTTGCCTATGGTAGCCTTACTTCCCAAAAGACGCAAACAAAGCTTAAGATTTTGGAACCTGAGCGATCACAGGACTCTACCTGTTGATTGCGCTTTAAAACGGGATTCCTCACGTTTCCGGCCTAGAAAATTCATGGCTCAAAGAAAAAGCGGCACAAAGTTGGCAACTGGCTTTAGGGGAAGCAAAGGAAACAAACCGTCAGGTAAGTAGCTTCAATCGCAGTACTTATTTTTTCATACGGCGACAAGGCAAACACAAAGCCCAGTTACTCCGAGAAACCATGGTTAGTGGTTTCGAAAGTAGGTCGTGAGGTGATGTGTCACTCTGGTTTGCTGAAGAGAAAATAGACAAAATATCAACAGGGCAAAAAATATAAAGGGTAAAACCTGCCCTCCCAACAATTTCGAAAGCTCACGATCGGAAGCTTTTGGAAGACTACGTTCCTTTTTGGGAAGCCCGAAAAGAACCCACCAGAGGGTCTTTTAAACAAATAGTCTTCAAGGACCCTCGATGTCAAAGGGGGCTCCTCTATTTTTCCGAACCCCCAAATGGCCCAAGCACAGCCAAAAAAAAGAAGTGAGTTCCGCAAAAGTCGCGGACCTCCACCGGCGGGTGCGGTCAATACATCCTTGTTCTTCACTTGGCCCCAACCAGACCCTCCTTTGCCATTCCAGGATCCTATTTTTCACAACCTCCAGGACAAATGTGTAGTTCAGAAGGATGGGTGAAGGGGGAGTCAACCCTTGGAATGTCGCTGAGTGAGGATGATCAAATCTGAATGCGCGATTCGATTCGCGCAACATCTATCTTCACGCGTGTCCCGTCCGAAGATGCGGCTGCCCCTTCTGACCTGTAAAACTGAAGGGTTGGATCCCAATTTCGGCAAGTTCCTCGAGGGAACCTGAATGGGGATGGGCTGCGGGTGGAATGCTTCAGAATGCCGAGCGGTGTTGCTGGTAGGAAATGCCGAGAATGCTGTGATGATCGTGCTGCTGTGAAGACTGATGATGCTGGTGATGCTCATGATCATATCGGTGATGCTAGTGATGTGTGTGATGCTGGCGATGCTGGTGATGCTGGTGATGCTGGTGATGCTGGTGATGCGCTTGATGCGGTCGATGCGGTCGATGCCGGTGACGGGTGATGCTGGTGATGCTGGTGATGCTGGTGATGCTGGTGATGCTGGTGATGCTGGTGATGCTGGTGATGCTGGTGATGCTGGTCGCTGGACGTGTTGGCATTCTTGCAGATTGTTTATTGTTGGAGGTTGCTGCTGGTTGCTGGGATCGTTGGCGACATTGGGGAGGGTCTGGGAAATGCTCTTGTGGATGCTTGGGGCTGCGACACTTAGGATGTTGATGATGCTGATGATGTTGCGTACTGGTGATGTGCGGCGATTCTAGCGATGTTACAGCCTTGGTTCCAAAGTAGAAGACCCCCTTTCTCCAAATCAATCGAAACATCCAAGAAGGCTGAACGGTGAGACCCAGGGAAATCAGCCCTTTTCAAAGGGACGGTAACCCTCAGAAAAGGAACCCTGCTCCCCCAACTATCCCTCCTAGTACCCACCGTCACTGCCTCCCATCTTTCTGTTTTTTCGTTCCTAGAGCCCCGGTTTTTTCAGAGGCCCCAATAAACGAGAGCATTTCCCAGACCCTCCCCAATGTCGCCAACGATCCCAGCAACCAGCAGCAACCTACCCTATGTCGGCACAGTACCATCAAACCCACGAGGCTGGAGCAACTGGAGCCGCCCGTGCCTTGAGCTGGCCCACGAGTTTCTTCGCTTCCGCTAGCCTGGCGAGAGCTCGAGAGCCCGGAACCAGGGCTAAAGAACTCGGACTCGTAATGGAAGGAACGAAACACCGGGCTGAATCTGCACCAAAAACGAGGGGGGGAGGCCGTGCGACCTGGATTCTTGGCTCGCTTCCTTGGAGGAGGACCTTTGTGGGGTGGTTCTTTGAAAGGAAAACAGCCTAAGGGAAGCCACCCTTTTGCCGGGCTCCGAGTCTGGGTGAGCGAATCAAAAGGCCACAGTGGTCCTGTCTCACCTCTCCGCAGCTTCCGTTTCCCCGGTCCGTTTCCTTGGAAACTCTCGCCAAAAGGTGTGCCCCCGTGGAGCCGTAAAAATCTGAAGAGCAAACCGCGTCTGAAGCTGTCGCTCGAATGAACCGGGACCACTGAGTTTGTCGTCTTGCTGGCGGTTCCCAAAGTCAGACAACTAGGGTTGTTTCCATTCCGCCAGCCTTGAGGTGCACTTAGGGAGGACTTTGAACATCACAATTTATGTGTGTGTATGTGTGTGTGCGTGTTTTCCTTGTTTGCTTGTTTGCTGTTTGTTCGCGCGGGTCTAGAAAATCGCGGGCTCCCTTTCGTTTCCCTTGGAGTGGTGAACGAGCCGACGGCCGCTCTCGGCAGCGAAGCTTGGCAGCTCGACGGCCCGGCCATCGGTTCGCACGGCTGGGCACCGCCCGCTGAGCCAAGGCGTTTGGGCCGGGCGAGAGGACAGAGGCTGGAGGTGGCTGTGGGTCAAAATTCATGGGATCCCATTTTGGGGTAGGTGCACCACCCATTTTAGCCTAGTTTAGTGGGGATTGGGATGTTCACCGGGGGGTGTGGCTCAAAATGAACCAGGAGGGGCAAGCCGCAGGTTTTAAACTCCATGTTTCCACTTACCAGGGAAACCCATTTTGGAATTCCGGATTTTTGAGCCACGGCCATGTGGAAAAACCAAAAAACACGACTTGGTTTTCCGGCATGTCCCCTTTTAGCAGGCGGTTTTGAGGCGCCTTTTTGAGACCACTCCAGTCAGGTTCACCATATCGCAGGGCCACGTGGGAGCCTCGCTTTGGACCTAGACATAGAGCCAGTAACCATCTCATGCCAGGCGGTTTATACCAAGCGCAAAAAAGAGAGCCTCACTCGATTGGGTAATCACCTAATGCTACAAAGGATCAAAACGGAAAAGAAGAAAAGAAGAAGGGACAATTACGCTTGGCAAATGGAGGGTCGTGGGGAATCGCCGCGATCCATGAGAAATGGCCCAAGGCCGGTGGCGAATTCCTCGCGTTGAACGCAGCAGACCTTCAACCGCAAGTTTGCCTCAAGGGTGTCCTCTAATCAAACAGCCAGCCCTGTGTTTGGGGTCCAACAAAATTCCGGCTCTTCCCCAGCGAAAGGGGGGGGGGCCTTGGCTTGAGGGCTCACGCTTGAGGTTTTGAAACTACACATGAGTTTCTTTGTTTCAAGGGAACCCTCACAAAGGGTCGTTGCCTTTGGGTTTGCCTTTCAAGCAACCCAAAGAGGGTACCCTCAAAACAGCACAGCCCCGCATGGTTTACATAGTTTGGAACTGGCCCCTCACACCGAGTATCAAGCAAGCCGCTGGTGCACAAAGGCCACTCTCCGAGCCTTTTGAGAGCGACTTGCCTTAGCCTGCCACGTTGCTTTGCCAGCCATGTTTGGTCCCTTCACGGTTTCTTCTGTTGCAGAGCGGTTGATGCGAGGTTCTAGCAAACACTTCTCGGTCCAAACACATCCGGCCGCTTAGCCCCAGGTGAGACGCATTTTCCACCGAGCCAGCTGCCAGCCGGCCGGGTCTTCTTTGAAGCGCAAAAAGCCGCTCAGAGGCGGCCGCTAGAAGATGTCGAATGGGTTCCCAGACTCCGCAGGGGCCTCCGCGGTTCGGCCCAAGGCCGTTGTTCCATGCGGTATTGAACGCTAGCTATGCTGGGAAACTTGGAAGTCCTCATTTCCCTCCCAAAGGACCATGGGCCTATTTGGACCGAACCTCAACTGAAGCTCTAAGCAAACGAACCCACAAATGCCAGGCCCGTGCTCGCTCTGCCACACCTGTCCTACCTTTCGTGCGGAACCGTCCAAGTCGCTATCTCAGTGCACAATCCTAACCTCTGCATGTACGGTCAAAGGTATGCGATGATCCCAATGACAGGAGAAAATTATTATAGAGGTTGATTCCCCCTTCTTTTCCACCATCGTTCCTTCCAAAAACCGGATCCGTTTTCCCTCGGTTTCCCGGGGTTTGCTAGAAAGATTCGGACCCCTGGAAAGAATGGAAATGGAAGGTACCCCTTAGAATTATGGCCTGATTCCCTGGCTGGAGCTTTTCTGCGAGGCTTCGTGCCCCCGCGCGGCGCCCAAATTGACCGGACACTGCTCGAGATCGGGTCCCGCGTCGCGCCATCCCGCCTGCGCTGGCGGGTAGCCGCCTCCTGAAAGAATCGTTGGCGCTGGAACGAACCCAAAAGCGGGCGGAGACACAGTTCACTCAATGGCCCCTTGAAGGGTTCTTCCAAATACCTCCCTTTTCATTGGGGCTGGGGAAAAGAAAAAAACTGCAGAAAAATTGCGTGCTTGGTGTTGGGGGAGTCCGAATTCATGCACCTGTTTGCTTAACCGAAAGGAAAGCCCCGATCTTGAGGGGGTCAAGAGCACCCGTACGGTTGACAGTGAATCACATCTCAAGGCCCAGGTCAGGTGGATTGCTGTGCGCGCGGGGTTGTCAGGATCCCTGCTTGCAACGTGCGCACTTTTGCAATACCACTGTCTTCATCAGTGATCAAAAGAAACGATTCTGTTTTCTTATCAAAATACTTCACTCTGATTGTTGTTCAAAAGCTGGCGGAACAAGGTTTCATAGAACCACGTTCTAAGTTCTAGAACTTCCCCCCACCCCGCATTCACCCCTCTCCACAAATGAGAAGCCTTGCTCAGGTACACCTTAGTTGGTGCTTTGGATTGGTTTGGATTGGTTTGTTTCTTGTGACTAGGGTTTCCCACCGAACCACCGAACCACCGAACCACCCCTGTCGAGGGAAGCTTACAGGTTTGATCAAACAGCCCCTGGCTTACAGCCCTTGGCTCCCGAACCCCAGACCCCGCAACCGGAAGCCTTTGAACCTTTGGACACTCCTTTGACCCCAAAAAACGAGTCGCTGGCTGTTGATGTGCGGGTTGCCTTGTTCGTTGAAAACGCGGGAGGAATAAAAAAAGTGGGCAGGGGTTGAAGAAACGCGAATCCCGGCCTGCGCAGCCCGCCTGCGACCGGATTTGCGGGCGTTTCGCTTCAAAACCTCGAAGAGGGTCTCACCCCTCCATATCGAGCGAACCTTGTTCGAGGACACCGCACAAATGTACCAACCCTTCAAGAAGCCAAAAGGATGGGTTCAATTGAAACTTGCCATGGTACAGTTTTAATTCAAACAAGCAAACCCAAACATAGCCGTAGGGAGGCCAAACAGGAGGGTGTTGAAATAATTGGGCCATAATTGTCCAAAGTGACGCGATCACAGCCCGACCTTTCAAATAGTGGTGTGAACCTCTTTGGAGGGGTCCCAACAGGGATCTCCTATGCCCCCCCAGTCTATACATAAAGGGAAACTCAGATTGAATCGGTCTTTCAAAGTGATGCTTGAAACCTCCCTTGCGGAAATGTCGCAAACCCAGCCAGCCGACCGTGTAGTTTCTTTCTGACATGCACCGGGCCCTCTTCAAAAGCAATATTGAAAAAGATCAGCATCCCTCTGCGTTCGCATGTCGAGATTCTTTGGCGAACCTCTGGATGCAAAAGGGTTAGTCTCCAAAATGGAGCACCCAAAAATGGGCACCAACTCACAAAAGAGGCAGGCGTTCCAACGTTCCACCCCCCTCAAACAAAAGAAAAGAAGGACACAAAGACACCATGGCGTCATTTCAGAACCTCCAGCTTTCCGCCGCGCGCCTCTCCAAGCCCCACCCCCGCCCCCCTCCGGCCCCCGGCCTCCAAGCCTCCCACGCCCCCCGCCTGAGGGCCGTGGTTCGGCGCGCCGGCGTTCTTCTGCTGGAAGGCGCTCACCAGATCCTCGGCATCGCCCGATCCAGCGACCCGAGTCTTTGGTACAGGATTTGGCCAAAAATGTCTGAAGCCCCAAAATGGGTTTGCCTTGGCAAATGGAAACATAAAACTAAAAACCTTCGGTCCAAATCATGGTAACTTTGACCCATATCCATTTGCCCTCTGGTCCACGTTGCCATGGCACCTCACAAAAACCCAAACCACGAAATGTACTTTCCCGTTGCCTTATGTGTGTGGGAGGAAGGGTATGCCCATTGCACCATGTCCACATCTCAGGTCTCAAGCTACAGAACCCCAATGCCAGGCCACCTGCACGATTCCAACTACTTGCACAAGAAAACTCGGGGCAAAGGTTCCCATCCCTCCAATCCTTTTACCGTTCCTTGTAGAACCCTACCAATCGACCCCCCCGCCCTCCCCGCGCCAATCCTCTGCGACTCTGAGGTTCGCGCGTTGAATTGCCCCGGACCCTCCGGGGGCGCCCCCGGGGCTCCCGGAACGCCCGGTGCGCCCGGGACGCCCGGGGCGCCAGGCACGCCCACGACGCCCGGGGCCGCCTGCTTGCTCTGCAGGATCTGCATAATCCTCGGCGTCCGCCCGGCGCTAGCAACCTATGTGAGAGGCTTTTGGGAATGGAACCACACAACATTCAGGATGAGTCCTGTCCTATTGCCATACCATACCAGTAAGGATGAAACACTCATTGAAGAGAGGGAAGATACAATGGAGGCAACTGGCCTGAGAGGCCTCCGTTCAAGTTCCGGGAGGGTATGGAGTACACACGCAAGGAGGCCAACCCAGTCGAATTTCCATTTTCCTCAGGTCGGGGGACGCCAAGGTTTGGGTGGCTTCCTTCAATTTGCATGTAGCATCGCTTTGATAGGCAACCAAACCCGAAAATCCACGAAAATGCTCTCATCGGAGGCCAAAAACAATTTGAGGGGCGAAGCGAAACATCATTCCGCGCATCTGATGCCAGGAGGATGCCGACAGACTGGGCTCCGCGCATCTGCATCTGACTCTGCAGCATCATCTGCATTTGCATCAGCCTCGGAACAGAACTTGACTTGAGGTAAATTCCTTCAGGTGGATTCAGGGGTCTGGCGGTTTAGGGGGGGTTGAAGATGAAGCTTTCGGGGCTCGGTTTATCCGTGGTGAACGTTTTGGCACAGCTGCTCCAATGATCAAAAGTTGTTCTCCTGGCTGACTTTGCAAGGGGTCCCCCCCCCTGAGAAAAACACCAAACAAAGAAGAGAAGAAAACGCACCCCACAAACAAAGAAGGTCTTCCCCTTCAAAAAACAAAAAAAAAACGAACCCCACAAACAACACCCCCTAAAAAAACACACCAAAAAGAAAAAAATGACCCCACAAACAAAGAAGAAGGTCTTCCCCTTTTCGACCTCCGTCGGTCTTCCCTTGCCCCGTTTTCGACGTCCGGCGGCTGCTCGGGGCTCATCTGCTGCAGCTGCTGCGGGCTCAGCATGGGGATCATGCCCTGACCCATGCCAGGCATCCTGGCGCGGGATGTGCATCGAAAAAAGATGCACCGCGGTCGAAATCGAATCCTCCATTTGCTTAAGTCTCCTGGAAAGAATAAAAATATGTCCAGTTGTGATAGATTACCTTTAAAACCAACAGGGAAAAAAAATATTCTTAAGCAAATGGAAGGCCTCTGTTCCCCCAAGAGGACATGGGGTGTGTCGCTTTTTAGGGTACACCCCCCGTAAATGGTGATTGTGCTTTTGGTGACGTGCCCGGGCAGTCGCTGCAAACATGGCATGGATGCTTCGGGAAGGGAATGACCCACTGAAGTATCCGTGGAGTCCGGACGGGCCCTCTACGACTCTGTTGGAAAGCTGAAATACTGTGGATGGACAGAATCCATTTCGCACGGAAGACACCATGGTTGACACATTCTTTGTTGGGATTTACGTTGGAGAATCAGGTTCCATTCCAGGGTTTCTTAGCCGGTGCAGGATTTTGTCCATCCACAGTACATCCTAATGAATCCACGAGACCTTCAAATATACACCTAGATGAGCTTCAGACAGTTCCAGCAGTAAAAAGCAAGATGACCTTCAATTGAACAACTACCACAGGCTAGTTCTACTCTTTGAACTTACCCAGTGAACCCACAAGAGGACTTGGTCCATCCAAAGCGGATGGCTTTCTTGAGGTCCTGGAAGGCCGCTGCCCAAGCGTCCCGAGGTCTTAAGCCGATGGATCGCCAGTCCCAAGCCACTCGTTTCCGCTTCAGTGGATAGATCATGGGGCCGTATGGATGGACGCGAAATCCAGAAATCGCACCGCCGTTCAGAAACCCTGGAATGATATGATCCCCAACGTAAATACCAACCAACAACGGTGTCCCATTGTGTCTTGGAAGGTGCGAAATGGAATTTGTCCATCCACAGTACTGAACCTGATAAGACTGGCCTTTGGCTTTTGCCAGCATTTCCGTGGGAAGTTTGTACAAACGAGCTCACCCATGACGGTCCTGTGCTGGATGAGTCCCGTAGTTCCGGTTTGGGAAGTACGGTACTTTGCCCAGCTTGCCGACATTCTCAGGATCTTGGTGAATTCAAAAACAACAACATGCTAGATGGGTTGGTGGATGAAGCATTATGGTCTTGTATGCTAGTTGTCAATTCCAGCCTTTGTTGTGCCTGATGTGCGTGGAGCTACTTTGGATGAACAGGATCCATTTCACCGGGATGCATGAATCTATGAAGCCCTGCAATTCCTGTTTGAGAAAAATACCTGAGCCGATTTTGTCCATACACTCAAACATGTAAGTGGCTTTTGGTCGAGCAGAGACGCTTGCGAGTTCCCTTCAAAGCAAAAACGGTGCATCCATATTTGTTTCCGTTTTGTTTAAAGAAGTTTGTGGGTGTCCCTTGAATATCAACCAGCCAAATTGGGTCTTACTTCCAGCCAAGTTGGGTGGGCTTCTTCGCCATGTTGCCGCGATTTCCATCTTAAATATGTTTCCCTAACCACCCAGCACAGACCTGAGATTCAGCAAGCGGATTTGGTTGACGTTGACATGGAAAATCATGCAGCAATCTCTGAAGGGTGCTTCCAACCAATACGCATAGCCAAATCATCGAAAACGCAAATCTGAACCACAATATCCGTTAAAAGTAACGCCGCATGGAGTACCCGACACAAAGAATCACACCCAAACCGTTTTCCATGGTCGATGTCCTTTACGTTTCCCATGCAACCCCGGAAAAAAAAAAAAAATGCAGCCTCGGCATATCAACCACGCCAGCACCGCCCTTGCTGCGGCATCTGCTGCGGCATCTGCTGCATCTGTGGCCTAGGCGCCAAAGACCAATTCGCAAAGACCAATTCTGCTTACCCGTCACTCAAAACGGGCTAAACCCAAAAAATGATGAAAGTGATGATTAGTGTGCTCATGCCGGAAAAGAGGGGCGGTAAGACTTTGTGGGGGTAACACCCCAGAAAAACATCCATCAGCTTGATTGATGCAAGGTCTGCATCCCCTAAGTGGTGTGTCCCTTACATTCAGGAGCACACCCCCAGTTTATGACTCGACATCCCCCAAAGTCACCATCAAAAAATCGGGCTCAGAGCATGGTTTGAACGAAGCAGGTTTGGGGGAAGCAAACCGGGGTACTGGAACTTGCTTCAACCTAAGCCAGGTAAGTAGAGAACAAACCGGGAAAGTGGTGGAAAACTATGTTCTGTGTCATGGATTCCCGGGTTTATGGTCCTGTCGCGAGTAAAAACCATATGGAATTGGCCTCAACCCACGTCAGGTAAGTTATGACATTCCGCTCGCTAAGTTCCGAAGCTCGAGTGGCGTTTTCCAACGCAGCCAGGTGTCTGCAGATGTTGCTTTTCCCAAAGCAGAATTCAGGGATGATTGGTTGGTTGCTTGCTTGCTTGCTTGCTCGCTCGCTCGCTTGCTCGCTTACCTTTCTCCCAGCGGTGCAATCTGAATTCAGGGATCTGCAAAGGACTTTTTCCCCAACAGCTGAAAGCTAACAGGTCTCAGCCCAGATATGGTTTGGGGGTGGCTTGGGGAGCTCTGGAGTCAAGGTTCCAGAGGTTCCGGTGCAGGCCAGGTGTAAGGTTCAAGGCAGGTTCCGGAGGTTCCGGGGTAGGGTGGTCTGGTGCAGGCCAGGTGTAAGGTTCAAGGCAGGTTCCGGAGGTTCCAGGTGGTCTGGTGCAAGGCAGGCTCTGGTGCAGGCCAGGCGTAACTAAGGCAAGGAAGGCTCCGGAGGTTCCGGGGTGGCAGGCCAGGAAGGAAGGTTCCGGAGGATTCGGTGCAGGCCAGGTGTAAGGTTCAAGGCAGGTTCCGGAGGTTTTGGGGTGGGGTGGTCTGGTGCAGGCCAAGTGTAAGGTTCAAGGCAGGTTCCGGAGGTTCCGGAATGGTCTGGTGTAAGGGTTTCGGGGTGGTCTGGTGCAGGCCAGGTGTGAGGTTCAAGGCAGGTTCCGGACGCTCCGGGGTGGTCTGGTGCAAGCCAGGTGTAAAGTGAAGAACTGAAGTCTGAGACGCAACGAGCAGACAGATCCCAGCGCCTAGCTGTTGGGGATACCACCTGAGCTTATTTCATGGGGGGGGGAGGGGTCCAAAAGGACAACCAAACTGCGATCGGTGCGAGAGATGCAGAGAATGAGGGAATGGAACAAAAAAAAAGCATCCAACTGTTTGTTCCAGAGGCTGAAGTCAGGGATCCCCCTTTTGTTTCTTGCGGTGCGCCTCGTCCGTGTGACCGGGTCAGCTGCTTTTGTTGTTTTTCTTTTTTCTCGGAGTTGGGGGAGCAGAGGCAAGTCCAAAAAACTCGCTATAAAATGGGCAACGATCCAACTTGCAAAGCCAGATTCCAGCGAAACGGGCTCCACCCATCGGGAAATGGTGTAACGCTGTTCTAGGTTTACCCTCCCACCAATTCAACTGGAACCTGACGTTCGGGAGGGGGGGAGGTGCTGGTTGGGACCATTCTCCTTTCAAAGGGACGATTTCCCGAAGGTCGAACGGTTCCATGTGTTAATTGGTGGGAGGGTAACGGAGCCTTTGGTCCAAAAAGGTCCCAAACGGAGCTTTTGGATTCGGCACCGAAGACGGAGAAATGACTTTTGAGCCCTTTGAGCCGAACTTCAAGCCGGCCCTTCCAAAAGGGGGAAAGCTTCCCCAAAAAACAGCAAGCAAGCAAGCAAGCAAGCAAGCAAGCAAGCAAACAAACAAACAAACAAACAAACAAACAAACAAACAAGCAGGCAAGCACGCAAGCACGCAAGCACACAAGCAACAAGCACGCAAGCAGGCGAGCAGGCAAGCCAGGAAGGCAGAAAGGCAGGAAGGCAGGAAGGCAGGAAGGCAGGAAGGCAGGAAGGCAGGAAGGCAGGAAGGCGGGAAGGCAGCAAACAAACAAACAAGCAAACAAACAAACAAACAAACAAAAAGGGCAAGCAGGCAAACAGGCAAGCAGGCAAGCAGTCAAGCAGGCAAGCAGGCAAGCAAACAAACAAGCAAGCAAGCAAGCAAGCAAACAATCACGCAAACAAACAAGCAGGCAGGACCCATGGCTGCATCGCACCCGATGCAGCCATGGCAACAAAGAAACCAAAGTCAGGTGGGAACAGTGACTGAATCGAGAAGGAAACCTTCACGAACACTCTCAGCTCTCAGCTCTGAGGCTCTGAGGCGCTGGCATCTGCGGGTTCATAGGCATTTGCTGAACCTGCGGCCGCAAAAAAGTTGTTTTTTGGTTTTTTTTTCCGCGCCCGGAAAAGGGGGGGTCCAAGAGGGAATTGACCCCCTGGTCGATTTTTTTTAGAGCCCCAGATATGAAAAGGAACCCAACTGAAATTCAGAGCCTACCCATTCAAGCGGAGTCATTGCAGCCGAACAAAGTGACGATTGGCTTCTGCCGATTCGAGGCAGCAAGACCACGCTTCCCCTGGGTTAGACTCCATAAACCCTTGCCGCTTCTCAGCAATGGGGGATTCCCTTGAGGGAAACCGAAGGAAACCATGGGGGATGGTTCTTCTTGGGGTCATTCCCTCATTCCTTGCTGAGCACCAGCAAGAATCGGGTGATATGCGACTCACACACCAAGAGCTGCCTGTATCTGACCATAGCTCCTTGCTGATTTACTTGCAGCGTTTCGGGGATCAACGGCAGCCTTCGAAGGCCTCGCGCCAAAAACCCGACATATGGGATACAGAAGGGGTAAAAACAGTACATGGATCGACAAGCCGCAACTCGACGGAAGTGCGATATGCTTTGGGGTCTAGTGTAGGGGTCTGCGGGGGGAATAGCATTGATTCCAGACTTTCCAGCTCCCCATGAAACACCTGGGGCATGTAAAGCTTCCTGCGGATTCATGCCGAGGACCGTCTATTTTAGGGGTCCTCTGAACAGTAGAGTCCTCCTTTTGATCAATCCGAAGTCAAAACTGCCAAATCCAACCTGCATGTTCAACACCCATGCCAGGCATGTCCGGGCAAAGCCACTACCAACTAGTAAGCATGGTTCCTTCATGTGTGAACACAAGACCCCGCCCCCTCCGATCCCATGTTTTAAGTATCCTTTGGTTTCCCGTTCCACCCAAAACGTCACCTTACCCATCGGTTGGATTGGTGGCTCCCCATTTTGTTTCATGGGGTTCAAACCCCCGAACCACAAATCCAAACCACCTGAAGGGTATCCTCAAACTTCCTGATTGCCGAAGTCCCCGGAAAACCTGCAAATATGTCCAGTGATAAATTCCCTTTAAAACCAACAGGGAGAATGCAAAACTTTCTTACGCAACTGGAAGCGACAAGAAACGCGATCCAGAACTGCCTGTCCAGGATGGGCCGGTGGCTCGCAGAGGTCATCGAAGGCGGAAAACCGCGCACCCGTTGGCCTTGTGAAAACGAGTCGGGTGCTTTAAAAACGAGTTGGGCTCAAGTCCTTTCTTGGGAGGCTAGCCTCCCACTCAGATGAACCGGACATTCGGAGGGTAACCTCCCACGGGACGCAGATGAGGCCTGCTTGGGGTGCCTATTGCTGTTTTATGTTTATTTATTTTACTTGATGTATGTATAATTCCTTAAATTATTTTGCTTTCTATATGTGTTCTTTCAATTGGGAGAAGGAAAAAAAGGAAGAAACAAAAAACTACCTACTAACTTTAAACATGATTAATAATTGTAAACAGGGCCCCTCCACCTTCCATCTGGATATCTTTTCGAAGGGCACCCAAGCCTGCAAGTCAAGAACAAAAGTACATCCAAAGAATGCCTCCTCTACAGTGCAAAAGCGTTCTTTCACCACGTCCAAATGTATCCAAGCTCGCGCCAAGTTGCGGGGCCCCCGCACTCTCCGGATGCGCGGCAGGGGCAGCAGCAGCAGCAGCAGCAGCAGCCGGGGCCGGCGCCGGCGCCGCCTGCGAAGCGAAGGCCGAATTTGGAGGATCCCGGAAATTGGCTCGGTGCCGCGAAAGGCGCGGCTTCCTCTTTGGAGAAAAACAAAAACAAAAATCCCCCCCTTGGTTTGGGGGCTGCGAAAAAGCGAGGTCAAAGGGGAAAAAACGTGTTTGTTCTTGTTGTTTTCATTACTTTTTTTTGGGAGGGGTGGGGGATCTGTCAAAAGGAATGTCGAAATCAACCCTCTATATAATTTCAAGAATCAGTTGAAGAACACTTCCCTTTGTTTGGTGCGGTTTTGGAAGCACCAAAAGGAAAACAAATTTCCAAGTTGAAGGGTCGGATTCCCCACAAAAAGTCAAGCCATCCTACTGGAGTCGGCTTTGCGGGTCCAGGGCGGCGCCCCCCAAGTTGTTTTGCAGGTGGCTCGTCTTTTTTAGGGCCCGGACCCCCAAAAAGAATGAAACCGTTCCTTTCGGTTTCCCTTTAAAAACCAACTCCAAAAAAAGACACGCCCATACGCCCATACCCATATTATTTTGAGAGCCCGTGCTGTACAGAATCAGCCCTTGCCTTTCGTGCCAGGAAATGAAAAGGAACAAGCTGCAAAAATCGGCCCAATGAAATTCATCCGGGTGAATTATATTGGCACGCAAAACTAAAAACTAAGAAATGCACCTTCGAGAAAGGAGCCAGTCGCGAGGCCCCAATTGGGTTGCCAACCAAAAAAAAGCCGTAGGGCTTCGACGGCATTTCCTGAACTCGCCCCAGATTTGTATGGGTGTTGCTCAAAATTTGGGAATTCCTCCAAGTACATGGTGTCCTTTTGGTTTCCCGCCAAAGCCATCCAAAAAGGGGTCCGAGTTCTACTTTGAGAACCCCCCGTATCGAATCTTCACCCAAAGAATAGCATCTGAAAGTCCAAACCATTTCACTACAGAGCAACGAGCTTATGTTTTCCCCCGGACAAACTTCCTGTTGCTTCCCGTGACTCATTTTGGCTGTGTCAAGGGTACCCCCTTTTGCGATGCCAAAAGCAAAACCGTCTCATCCATTTTGGGGGCCCACTGATTCCGGCCCCTGTTTGTTGGTCGGTTTCAAAAACAAACCAAAAGGAAAACCGTCCCATCCATTTTGGGGGCCCACCGATTCCGGCCCCTGTTTGTTGGTCGGTTTCAAAAACAAACCAAAAGGAAAACCGTCCCATCCATTTTGGGGGCCTACCGATTCCGGCCCCTGTTTGTTGCTCGGTTGCAAAAACAAACCAAAAGGAAACCGTCCCATCCATTTTGGGGGCCCACCGATTCCGGCCCCTGTTTGTTGCTCGGTTGCAAAAACAAACCAAAAGGAAACCGTCCCATCCATTTTGGGGGCCCACCGATTCCGGCCCCTGTTTGTTGCTCGGTTTGCAAAAACAAACCAAAAGGAAAACCGTCCCATCCATTTTGGGGGCCCACCGATTCCGGCCCCTGTTTGTTGCTCGGTTTCAAAAACAAACCAAAAGGCGATTCCGGCCCCTGTTTGTTGTCGGTTTCAAAAACAAACCAAAAGGAAAACCGTCCCATCCATTTTGGGGGCCCACCGATTCCGGCCCCTGTTTGTTGCTCGGTTTCAAAAACAAACCAAAAGGAAAACCGTCCCATCCATTTTGGGGGCCCACCGATTCCGGCCCCTGTTTGTTGCTCGGTTTCAAAAACAAACCAAAAGGAAAACCGTCCCATCCATTTTGGGGGCCCACCGATTCCGGCCCCTGTTTGTTGCTCGGTTTCAAAAACAAACCAAAAGGAAAACCGTCCCATCCATTTTGGGGGCCCACCGATTCCGGCCCCTGTTTGTTGCTCGGTTTCAAAAACAAACCAAAAGGAAAACAAACCGAAAAGGAAAACCGTCCATTTTGGGGGCCCACCGATTCCGGCCCCTGTTTGTTGCTCGGTTTCAAAAACAAACCAAAAGGAAACCGTCCCATCCATTTTGGGGGCCCACCGATTCCGGCCCCTGTTTGTTGCTCGGTTTCAAAAACAAACCAAAAGGAAAACCGTCCCATCCATTTTGGGGCCCACCGATTCCGGCCCCTGTTTGTTGCTCGGTTTCAAAAACAAACCAAAAGGAAAACCGTCCCATCCATTTTGGGGGCCCACCGATTCCGGCCCCTGTTTGTTGCTCGGTTTCAAAAACAAACCAAAAGGAAAACCGTCCCATCCATTTTGGGGGCCCACCGATTCCGGCCCCTGTTTGTTTGCTCGGTTTCAAAAACAAACCAAAAGGAAAACCGTCCCATCCATTTTGGGGGCCCACCGATTCCGGCCCCTGTTTGTTGGTCGGTTTCAAAAACAAACCAAAAGGAAAACCGTCCCATCCATTTTGGGGGCCCACCGATTCCGGCCCCTCGGTTTTGTTGCCACCGATTCCGGTTTCAAAAACAAACCAAAAGGAAAACCGTCCCATCCATTTTGGGGGCCCGCCGATTCCGGCCCCTGTTTGTTGTCGGTTTCAAAACAAACCAAAAGGAAAACCGTCCCATCCATTTTGGGGGCCCACCGATTCCGGCCCCTGTTTGTTGCTCGGTTTCAAAAACAAACCAAAAGGAAAACCGTCCCATCCATTTTGGGGGCCCACCGATTCCAACAAAAAATGCGACACCCCCCATCCGCAGGTGGCATTCCCGGCCGTGAAGTCCAGATCTAGGTCCAGCAGGCCCGACGGTGGCGCCGCCGCCGGCATCGGAGCTGCCGGCATCGGTGCTGCCGGTGCTGCAGCCATCACAGGGGCGGCGGCGCCTGCGCCTGAGGGGAGGGACTAGGCCTGCGCATAGGTGTCCTTTTAGGGGAAATAGATGGCCCTGGTTATGATTAAACCATCAAATAAACCAGGGATCGCCATCTATTTTTTGAGCAACACAACCAAAAAGGACACGTATGGGCCTGGGTGTAACTCGGTCCCTGAAGGTTGGGGTCCTTCGAAAAATTCGTCGCCCCCAAGCAGGAAACGCATCTTGAGGGTCGGCCCAAAATTGCTTTTGGGGGGAACCCGTTGAACCACAATTTGAGGCTTCGAATCAAACCTCTGGCTCGCAGAGAGGCAGAGGCCGAACAAATCCTAAGTGTTCCTCTCTTCGATCTTCTTGAAATAGCGAATAGCCATGGGCGGAATTGAAGTGGAAACCGGGCTTGGCTCCCTTACCCCCGGCACGAGACACAAGGACTAGATCATTCTGGTCGGTGTCCCTCTGATGTTGACCCGTAGTTAATACACAAGCTGTTTAGGAAAACATGGGACTGGGCGCCCCTCCAGAAATGGTCTGAATCCCCACGCAACGTTAATGAGTTTGATTGGTTGGAGGTGTTCCCTTCGGGTGTTTCTCAGCCATGTGCCTCTCAACAAGAACCAGCTCAAACCCAAATCTAAACCACCGGGCAACAAACCGCCAACTAGAGGGTCGCCTGAACCTGGACGGGTTTTCGGTGGGGTCCGGGTGCCGTGCGAAATCACTGCGTGCGCCATGGTGCTTGTGCTGGCGACTTTGGGGAATCTCTTTTGGCACAGCCCGGCTGTCTCTTTTGAGGGTACCCCACTTTTTTTGGTGGTTTGACAGGGAAACCAAGAGGTAAAACCACCATTTTGGGCGTCCCCCTAAAAATCAACCCAGCCACCTCCATGTTCATTACACCTTCTCGGTGAAATCTCCCCAGGCGCTCTCTTGGTCTCTCAGGCGATCTTGCCGTCACCAAAAAAAAATATCGCTCTGCTTTCAGGAACAAAGTGCCAACGGTGGAGATATTTGTGCCCAAGTGATGGCCAATCTCTGCCGGTTTTGACTGTGAAACACACGTGCAAAAAGCCCGCAGTTGAAAAGGCCCTATATGATCTGCCCAAACACAACACGTGTGTATGTGTTTTCGAGGGTACCCTTTTTTGATTTCGTCCACTTTGGGCCCGGTCCCTATGTCCGTCCCTGTTTTGACCACATTCTCTTTTTGCTTCAGGACTGCTCGCAACACAACCCCATGTCTCACAGAAGAATTCTAGAAAACAGTTTGGATGCGCTTTTGGTGAATTTCACCTGTTATTCGCGCTGTTGGTCTTCTTTATTTTAATATCCTACCGTGGTGGATCCATGGATTCGCCACATCCACGCCGCAAGGTCGCATTGTCTTACCATGAGGAGAAAAGACATATGTTGGTCTCCCTAAAACCACCCCAACATGGTACTCTCCAAAAAATCAGAACCGCATGTCTCATGGAGGACTGGTGTTGTGGGAGCACCCGAAATCTTCCCACCATCCTAGCAGGGTGGATCCTCAGATTCCCCACATCCAAACCGCTTTCTGGAACAATGGTATTTCTGTGGGAGAGCAAACAACGCGAAACACACTCAAAAAAACATCCCACAAAAACAAACGGAAACTCTAAAAAAGAGAAAACGGATCCAACTGCGAAGTCGCGGCCTTTCGATATCTCCCAAGCCCCCCACCTTCGAAGTCTCCCCAGTCGGCGCTGACCGGACGGCCTGGGCCTCAAGAATTCAAACGCGAGTCGCAACTCGCAGCGTTCCCACCAGTCGGGGGAATCGTAGATTCGTGTGATAGGGAAGGACCCGTCCCCGGGTTTTCGGGATTCTCTTAAAGGAAACCATAGGATGGAGGGTTTATAGGGGAACCATAGGTAAGGAATGACATCGTTCCGGGTTTGGGGAAGAATGGGAAAGAAAAGCAGATTTTGGTCTCCCGAAAACCACCCACAATTCATGGTAGTCTCCAAAAAAACGACACAACCCCATGTCTCATCGAGGACCGTTCAAAAAATATTCTTAACCAAATGGAAGACAATGTTCAGGCCACCCGCAAAACATCACCACGTCGGGCTCGTGCACCGAAACTGGTTGGACCCCGTCAGCGGATGTATCTTAAAATGGGGAACCCCCAAATCGCTCAAGTTTACCTTCGGTTTCCCTTCAAACACCACCAAACAAGTTCTCTCCTCCTAAAAAGACACACTTAAGTGGGGGTCTTGACCCAGTTTCGCACCCACCGCAAAACACAAAAATGCAAGTTCCTTCCCAAACAACACCTCTGTTTCGACCTTGGGGTCCCCCAATTTGCGAAACCTTCGCGCAGCTGAGACCACCCCCCTCACGCCGCCTCCGCCTCCGCCTCCCGCTCCGGCTCCGCCGTCGGGGAAAAAGTTGTCTGCAGGCCTGCACAGACCCTCCATTGCTTGGACCAAAGCCGCTCTCTGGGTGTGTCGATCTTTTGGGGGGAACCCCTTTTGTTGGTTTTCAGAGGGAAACCAAAAAAAGAAGAAAAAAACATGGGGGTCACAAACCCATCTCCCCGTCTTGGCCGTGGACAATTGCCGCTTTCTGTGAGATCAAAGTGCTGACTACTGATCCACTTTGTTGGGGATGCCCTTCATGCCACAGAGAACGACCATAAAATTCCAACTTTTCCCACAACCATGCTGTTCTCCTCAGGCATCCTTCTCGTCCAGCCCGAAACCCTGGAAAAAACAAATGCGGTGTAAACCAAAAAAAAAGCGGGTGGGCAGAATCTTGACGCTGGCCAGCGTCAACACCCAGGTTCAGGGATGGCCGTACATTGGTTTCCAATTATCGTCACATGTTCATCTATCCAATAACCATGATGTTCAACACTATTTGGGTATGGGTCAAAATTAAAGCACCAGAAAACCGCAGGCTTTAGTCCATGTTTCGATTTGCCAGGGTTCCATTTTGATTACCTTTTTCGACCCACCCCGATTTGCAAAAAAGACCTGTGTGTTGGGACAGGCTTGGCATACCGCAACCCACATCCTTACCAGGCAACGTCAGCCCCAGACGAGTGTACCCAAAAGCGAAGGATCTCTTTCCCTTAGACGCGATCAATCTACCAAAGTTGAATCCATCAATTCGGTGACAAACACTTCTACCAGGGCAGTTTCTTAAAATCTACCAGGGGTGAATGCATCAATCTACCAGGGCGGTTCCTCAAAATGGTGGACCCCTTCTTTCGGATGGCATGTTGAAGGAAGTAATCTAAACGGAGACCCAAAAGGAAACCGGAACCATGTGCGGTTCCCTATCTAATTGGAAACACCCAAGCGGTTTCTGGGTCCAACCTGTGTTTGAGGCCATCGTCATGGGACCCACCGGCTCAATGAGGAGGAAAATGGGCTGAGCGATGATCCAAAGAGAACCGGCTGTTGGTGACACCCCACAGGGAGATGAGTTCGGATTAGACAGAGGCTGACGTTCCACAAACATGTGCCAAAAGCAAGCGTTTGCCCCACCCCCCCACCCCCACCCCATTTCAGAAAATGATGATCAGAAAATGTGTTTCTTTACTCTCAGGGGGCGAAACCTATTGACTTTTGTATGACAGTTATAACGTTTATGTAGGCCATACTACAATCACCATGCATACAAGTAGTAGCGCAACCTACTAAAATGGCCAATATGGGTTTCGGGCGCTGCTCATGTTGGTCCTGGGGTTGGATTGCCGTTGGCCACGCACAAAGTCTGGCCTTTTGCGATCATCATCCCGGTCGCGGTGGTCACGATCGCGATGCTCGCGGTCTCGGTGGTCGCGATCACGATCACGGTCATCAAAGTCACGGTCGGAGTATCGATCTTTCTCTCGGCGATCATCTCGACGGTCATCCCTACGATCGTCTCGGCGATCATCTCGGCGATCATCTCGGCGATCGTCACGGCGATCATCACGGCGATCATCTCGGCGATCGTCGCGTCGGTCGCGGTCATCATATCGATCGCGGCCATCTCCGTGACGATCACGATCCTTGCGATCATCGTCATCCCAACGTCGGTCCCTGCGGTCATCATCGCGCTCTCTGTGCTTATCCCTTTCCCCGCGATCTCTGTCTCGGTCACTGTAGCGGTCTCGGTCTAGTCGATCGCCATGTCGATCTCTATCACGATCTCTGTCAGCATCTCGGTCAGGCGCAAATCCTCGATTTCGATCGCGATCCTTGTCTCTCCCATCAACGTCGTCGTGTCGTCTATCCCGATCTCGGTCGTCACGGTCCTTGCGTTCCCGTTCTTCCCGATCACGGCCTGTTGAGCAGAGTGGATCACAAACGCACGTTCACTCGGAAAGCTTGATGCTTTGACCTTGCGGCTATACTTGCCCTCACCTTCCCTATGTTCCTGGCTCAAGCAAAACAACCACTTTCAAACGACGAGGACAGAACTCGTTGCAGCAAGCATGAAACAAGTATGGGCCTCCATCAAATCCACGATCACGGTCCCGATCGTTGACACGGTCGCGGTCGCGGTTGCGGTCGCGATCTTTGTCATCACGATCTCCAGTCCGTTCAACCTTGCTGGCCAAATTATCAATACGAACAACCTGCCTACTACCAGCTATCATAAAAGCTGAGAGAGAGAGAGAGAGAGCAAGAGAGAGAGATAATTTGTCTTTCAGGTACCCTCCAGGTCCTATGTTAGGATTGCTATGTCAAGCAGGCCCTTCCACCACTTCCATGAAAGCCGGGGGGCTTCCCTCGAGTGGAGGCTTTCTTCCACTCCCCAACCAGCGGCCTTGTTTTTCCCATTGATCTTCTCTTGTACGGTCATATGTGATGAGTCCATTTGATTGCTCTGTATGTATGTATGTATGTATGTATGTATGTATGTATGTATGTATGTATGTATGTATGTATGTATGTATGTATGTATGTATGTATGTATGTATGTATGTATGTATGTATGTATGTATGTATGTATGTATGTATGTATGTATGTATGTATGTATGTATGTATGTATGTATGTATGTATGTATGTATGTATGTATGTATGTATGTATGTATGTATGTATGTATGTATGTATGTATGTATGTATGTATGTATGTATGTATGTATGTATGTATGTATGTATGTATGTATGTATGTATGTATGTATGTATGTATGTATGTATGTATGTATGTATGTATGTATGTATGTATGTATGTATGTATGTATGTATGTATGTATGTAGGGGTATGTAGGTACGTACGTACGTACGTACGTACGTATGTATGTATGTATGTATGTAGGTGCCCCCCCCCCCAGTGAGGAGAAGTGAAGGAATGTCGATGACTTATTTCTTAAGCCCTCGAAAAGCGCGCCAGGGCGCATCAATTACTGGATTCGTGTGGGTTCCCTTATTGTGTGGATTCGTGCTTCGGGGAATGGATCAAAGTCAGAACCTGGTGGTGTCCTGTACTTGGCTGTGGCAAAAATCGGCACCATCCGGTACCGAAAACAAATGGTAGGTGGAAGCATGGGTCCATGTAACCCGCGGCTTGCCCCGATGGATTTTCTTTTTGAGCCACACCCACTTGATACTTTGATCATGGTAAATTGATGGGAAAGGCCGGTGCGATTGGATTCCATGAGGCTTCCCCAAAGATCTTTGCGTTTTTACTGGAACAGAAGCAGTACAGCAAGTGGTAACTTGCGACAGTCAGCTTCCCCTCGGTGGTTTGGGGCCTTGGGCATGGCCCGTTCCAAGGTGATTCCAAGGCCTCATCCCAAAAATCCCCTGGGGGGCGATGTACTTCCCAACCCTCCACTGACCTATAGCAACGGACACATACTTAGAACGTGTCCTTTTTTCCAAAAGTGCTCTTCTCACACTTAGAACGTTGGCTAAAAACGTCACCTGCGCACTTTGCACTTGCTTCGGAAACGCCACACTTAGAACGTGCACAGCGCACTTGGAACGTTCGCCTAAAAACCTCTTAGAACGGGACGAAAACCACCATAGCATCTCGCTTTGAGTCTATGCAAATGCTTCCAGCTATGAACTGACGTGATAAGCTTGGGAGGCTCTGAGAATCTGCAAGTCTTCCCACCACTTACTCCTGAAAGCAGAATTTGGTGGCGAGCAGCCACACTCAGAACATGCCCGCGGAACACAGAAAAACAAGCAAGAAATTACATGTTGCCGAACTATCCAGAGAATCCGCATATGCTGTAAATATATGTAGCGCTTCGGCAAACACACAGATGTGAACAAATCTGCATCAAGCATGATAAGCTTGGAAGGCCATCTGCAGGTCAGCCCCGCCACTTGCCCCTGAAAGAAGAATCGGTTGGTGGTTAGCCACACTTAGAACACGTCATTAACTCAACAAAGTGTTCTGCGATGCTATGCTTGGCTCTCATGTGGCGCACACGTTCTAAGTATCATGTCACGTATATTTTAGCAGCTAGGCCAGGTTCTGAGCGCGCGCACTTAGAAGGTTTCTTCAGAGCCGGATGTTTTCCCAGGCAGGCTGGAATTCGGACCCCAGCAAAAAAAAAACATGTTTGCCTGGTGAGTGGAAAACAAAGGACCCCAAACACAAAAAAGCAAAGGGGAGCTAATTCTGGGGAAGTGTCCAAACCTTCTAAGTCTTTGTCCGGCGCTATAAGGCCTTCGGGCCAGCCTTGAGCTGCCTGGCCCCGCACCAAGAATGGAAAGCCAACTGGGTAAATGCTTGTGTTGTTGAAGGTAGATTCTGCTTGGTCTGAAGGGAAACCAGAATGAACACACATATTTTGGGTCCCCCCCCAAAAAAAAAGCCACACCCTTGCCTCAGGTACTTGCCACACCAAAAAGCAAACTTGGTGCCACGGGGCCTGCTCAACCCGCCAGTTCTCTCAAGGCATTGCACATCTTGCCTGAGGCAACGGCCCACCGCTTCTCGATGTACTTCATCTTGATGAATTCGCGGCACTGGGGTCAGACCAGCCAAGCGAAAGTGGCGGCTTGATGAAAGCCCACAAATGATGACACGCATGGGAGCCTTTTCCTTCTGGCTCTCTGCAAACAAATCAAAAGACCTGAAAGTTTGGCACAACACAGAAGTCGCTTTGGTTCTAGAAAAACAAAGATGCTTGCACGCACTGTTGGTCTCCCCACCTCGAGACAATTGTGGGGCTCTTGGTTTTCATATGGGGCTTGATCAATATTCCAAGAGCAGCCCAAAAAAGGACCCTTCGGGCAACTTTCCCATGGTGGTTGAAATATCAACATAATATATGTATATTATATATATATATGTGCATATTGTATATATATCTATATATATGTATGTATATATCCGCGGGTTTTACAACGAATGGTCATCCCATGTTCATCCGACCTTTTGATCAGCCCCCCAGGCTCCGCTTGGTGGGAACACGAAATAGATCCATCCTACAGGGGGGGAGGGGTGTCACCCACAAAAGTGATCCGGATTCAACCAAGGGGGTTGTAACCCCCCAATCAAACTCAACCAAAGGTTGATTAGAGATACTAGAGTGCGTCCTTTTTTTGGGACCCAAAAATGGATTCCGGTGGTCCTGTTGGATTCCTTAAAAAAAACAAAAACACCGAAAGGTGGGTGCACACCCCATGAATCCGGAAGTCGCATCTGGTTTCCTCCTGCCTTTTGCTGGTCTGCGCTGTCCGGCTCGGGGAAATCTCGATGGTCCCAGCGCGCTAAGAACTTCTCTGCAGCTTTCGCGTTCCCGCCGCCTGAGCACTGAGCATGCGAAGGGAGACCCTTTGTCTAGGCGTGTTTCAAAACACGAGGCAGAAATCGGACCTATTTTGTGTGCTTGCTTTGTGCATGTTGTTTTTTGTTGTTTGGTCAACATATGAGAGCATGGAAATACGGCACACCCAGATCCGTCCATTGAAGACTCAGCCTGACAGCCAAGGTTAGCTTGATGTGATAAATATCGGAAATATGGGGGATATCAGAAAATAGGGGGACGCTGATGATAGACGAGACCCAGAAATAAGGGGCTGACCCTTTTGGGCACTCTCTTTGTCTGGTGGGGCCACTAAACATTCGGAAAGCTTGAACCCACAAGCTCAGATCCGGTCTGGATGTGCGATGCGGATGCACCAATTATTGCCAGAACCGAAAACATCCTGAACCTCATGGTCATTTCCCATGGCTTTATTTCTTGTAACATCATTTGGTGGTTTACTTGAAATTCAAGGGTGATGCACCGTGTTTCTTGTGCGTACCTCAAATTGGCATCCATACCCTTGGTTGGAGTACGGAACAAAGGCGAGTCACACGTTTTTCCGTTTTGGACTTCACTACATGTGCGCATATTGATCCAAACTCGCAACGGGGATTCGAGTTCCCGGGGTCGCAATACCCTGGTATCGCGAGGTATCTTGATCACGCGCGATGCTTGGATCGGTTTATGGTGATACTGCGGATGGACGAAATCCTGCACCACCTAAGAAGCCCTCGAATGGTCTGATTCCCTGTAAGTACCAACAAACAGTGGTTTCCCATGGATTCTTACGTGGTGCAGGATTTCGTCCATCCACGGTAGCTATGGCTGCAATGGTATTCCCTTGCTATTATATAAGTTCGTGACCCTCCGAGCTTTTATTGAGGATCATTCAGCGTGCCCAGAACCGTCCAATGGTGAGCTACGCGGAATCAATATCAGACCCGTGTGCAACCCCAAGTCGGTCTTTTGATAACATTTGTTACCGGACCTTCCCCCCAAACACAAAAGAAAGAACAACATGTGTTGCGTTGCTTTTGGTCTTCCCTTTCGGCCAAAAAATATATCGACCGAGGGAGCCGTTTCCCGGTTCCCTGGTTCCCCCCGGTTCAACACCCATGACGTTTTCGCTTCGCTGGGCGCCCGGCGCTCAATGTCCTCGACCTCTTCCAGCGTCCACTTGGACACCGAGATGCCCTGCGACTCCGATCGCCAGCGGATCGGGGTGCGGTGAAGAGGTCTCAGAAGTTGGCCAAGGCACCGTCCAGTGAGGACAGGGGCAAAGGCCCAGGCTTAGAATAGAACATGAACCAGTGTAGCATGGCAAAAAGAAAACTGGACGGGACCTTGTCTTGGTAGATGAGGCTTTGAAGGGAGGCCCTCTCCAAAACAAGGGAAACCACGAAATGGGCCCGTAGTGGTTTTCAAAAAATCCGCCTGAACCTGCCCCAAAATCGTTTTCTGGTGGCCGGGTAGGCAAGGAAATGAGTCATGGGTCAAAATCAGAACCCCGCTCCCAAAAGGGGAAAAGTAAATGCAAGGAGATGTCCCAACTGTGTGGGAGATGCCCAAACTATTCTAGAGGATATCCAGATCATGCTTGGCTGACAGTTTGTATGTCGACCCGTTTTGTCAACCATGTCAGCTTCCTTCAAAGAGCTGGTTTGAATTGGTGGTTTGCGATGTTCCAAAGGTAGGTTTTCCATTTCGCCTCTACAAGGCTTTCAAATCAAAATCCAAACCCCCAACCCACGCCACCCATTAAGAAATCCACATCGCGGAAATCCGAGAAAAAAAAGAAAAAGGGTTTAGAGAGTTACTTCCTTTGGATCACCTTGCCCCTATCTGGTGGTTTGGTTCGGTGGTTTGGGACATTGGGGGGGCTTCCCGATTTGGTTTCAACAGGAGCTGGGGTTCAATCAGGGAGTGCAAGGGAGCCGTGAACTTCCAGTTGTGTTCCGCAGAGAAAAACCGGGACGCGGAAACATACGTTTTCATGACTGTCATGACCCTTTCCTTTTGAAACGGGGAGGACTATGAAGCACCTGAAGCACCTGAAACGGGGGGCCCGGCTTTGGTTGAAAGCCACATGAAAAGAGCCATACACCACTTTGGATGTTCAGTCTACGTCAAGTAGGTAAACCATACCCATTAGGAGAATCCCTCTCTTTGGATCGGGCCTTTCTGGGACCTCAAAAAGTCCCACTAATGCGGTTTCACTTGCCAAAACAAAACAAAAAACTTATCAAAATAGCCCGTCTTTGCCATTCAATGGCAAAAGAAGACTCAACCATTTGGGGGGACCCTACTTTTGAGAAGCCAAGGGCCACAAGAAAACACCCCAAGATGGTGGCGCTGCTTCCGAGCCCCCTTCCACGTCGGCTGCATCGATCGATCGATCGATCCGTCCCAGCGCCTTGACCTTGTGGCTGAATTCCCGATGCAAGCCGCCGCAGGTGGTGCAGACAAAGGTCCCAAAGGACAGGCACACGTAGGTCGGCCCCACCTGCGGTCTCGTTTCGGTCAAGCGTAATGTTGACCCCATATGAATCAACCCCATTATTATTCTTGGGGGGTGTCTTTGGGTTTAGCGGGGAATCATCACTCTTGGAGGGGGAAAAAAAAAACTATGAATAAACTGGGGATAATTAAATGGGGTCAACGGTATCGGTACCCAACAGCCTTCACCTCCCTTTTGAACCCCAAGCTTGGTTCACCCAACTTGTCGCCTAGGGCCAACCCCCAAAACGCTTCCAGGAGAGAAACGAAAAGCCAAGGGCTGAAAGACATCTGAAAAGGTTTCTACTTTAAAATGTGGGGGGGAGGGGTTTCAAAAGGAACAGGTAGGGTTCATAGAACACAACCACCAATCCACCTGCTGCAGGATTCAGGTGCCCTAAATCTGCTGGTTGATTTTTCAACCGGTCTCATCTTTGGTGGAGCCTGAAACCCGGCCGGGTATCGCGGTATTGCTCACAAAGCCAGTGAAGCCACGGACCGGTGTGAAGTGGAACCCCCGAAAGGAGGGACCAAGCAACACCCCCCCTTTTCAGATTGTTTTCAAGGGAAACCAAGAGAACCCCGGACCAAGAGACTCATTTGCATTGGGGACTTTTTCTTTCACATCTTCGTTTTCCACCATCGAAAGCGCCACCGCCTCTCCCAGGTGTCTCGTTTTTGTGCCAGCCACCGCCTTCTTTTTCGGAGGGTCGGACCTGAGGGCCTGAAGAAGGTTGATCCATGGGAAGCCGCGGTGCTTCTCTCTTCTTGCTTTCTATTTTTTTTTTGGGGGGGGGCGGGCCCTCCATCTTCTCCAATTGGGTGGTCCAATTGAGTCTGTCTTTTGTGGGGGGATCAACCAACATTTCGGGGGATAAACCCCCAAAAAAACGACGCACCCCCCTTCCCGAGACAAATCCGAGAGCTCTGTCGCGCATGGCCTCCGTGCAATCTGCGCATCGCTTGTTGGATTTGTCACTCTTCTGGAAGCTCCGGATGCGGTCCAGGAGACACTGGCAGAGGCCGTGACTCGTCTAGGGGTTGATTCGGCCAGCCCACTCAGGAAGTGCTTCCCCCTTACCTACTATTCTAGGGGTTGATTCCTTTTACATTATTTTGAACCATCGCTCTTTTCAAAAACCGATCGCTGTTTCCCCAGGGTGTTGGCTGGTTGTTTGCAAAGAAAAAATGCCTGGAAAGAACGGGGAAGGCACCCCTAGAACTTCGGCCCCAGAATGGTTGGTTTCCCTGTGGCTTCCCTTGGAAACCCATCCAAAAAGGCTGCCAGACAATTTGACACCTCGCTTAACCCGCTGCGCGAATAGGTTTGGGAATCAGACTTGGGGTTTAGGGCTCATGATGGACCCCAAGACTGGATTTTTGTTTTGTTTTGCCTGCCAAGCCATTTCGGACCATGATACCCAAAACAAAACACGCGTCGATTCTCAACAAACAACTCAATTGCCGCGTGGCCACATAGCTCCACTCGATAGCTCAACTCGTTGCCTTCTCGCTGGTCTTCTTCATGGCATCCCCCCGAGCTCTTCTTCGTGCTGTCCACCAAAAAAGAAACAGCGATGATCTGCTGTGTCATCTGCTGAGGCTCGTAAGGGAGCGGCTTGGAACTGAAAAACGACCTTTCATGTCCAAGGCGCTTTGTTTTCTGAGGTCCTCTGGAATACCGGTGGCTGATGCCGTGTTTGCGGCCCTTCGCATCTAGACCTTGAGGCGAAAGCAGAGCAGCGCCCAAAGCCCGCTTGACACGCCACAAAACCCACGTGGGGCCCAATGAAAACGGCTTCAGCCGCGGTGAAGCGCCCCTCCCCTTTCAGAAGCGGCACGTGCCCAAACCTTCGGCTCTCCCTTCGACGTCCCGTGTTTCTTTACCTTCCAACCGCCTGTCCCATGCAAAAGAAAACAAACAGCTGAATAAATGCCAACTGCGCAATATTGTTTGACCATTTCTACAAAGACAGGGGGCAAAAGCAGCGTGTACTTCCTCCGTGCAGAACCACCAATTTACAAGGAGACTTCGACATCCCTTCAGCAGAAAAAATAAATTTAGTGCATCTACGTCGGAATCATGAGAGAAGCACGCAGCTCTTTTCCTGTCGTTTTTCTGGAGCTTGGAGCCTTGTGCAGCCAACTCCGACTGGCAAGAAATCCAGACGTCAGCAGGTACTTGGTCAAACGCAAAAGAAAAACGCAAGCACCTCTTGTGAAACCCAGCAAAGAACATAAGATTCTGCCCAATCAAGCAACTCTGAGTCTGGCCAGCCCCCCCATACACCATGGGTTCAGTTGTGCAAGCCATCAAATTGGACAAGGTAGAAAGTGGCCCTGTAGATCACCACACTGCGACTGCTGGCGAGGTGCTTGTCCGCTAGTTCCGTTGCCATGTCCTCGTTCCTCAGTGAGTTCTTGTGCGGTTACACCTTTTCATTTCTTGGTGACATGTATTCCAACGGGTAATGGCCTTTTTGCCGGGATGGATGCTTCCATTCCTTTGTTTCTTTCGGCATGTGGAAAAACACAGCCTTTGGGCTGTGCTGTGCACCTGGCCTTTTGCCCCCTGAACCTTGGGCGCTTCTCTTTTGTTGCAGCCACTTTCTGCTTGTCGACCGGCGATTTGCTTTAGGCAACTAGAAAACACCCGCAACCTTAAGATACTGTGCATGGACGAAATCCTGCAACACCTAAGAAACTCTGGATTGGCGATTCCCCTGTAAGTGCAAATAAACGCCATCCACAGTATGTTCTTGTCATTGAAAACCAAAGCGTTTGCGCCTGGGCTACTTCTCCCCTCTACCCTTTAGATTTGCCTTTGGCCACGGGGTGGTTAAAGCAGCGACCAAACTTTTAAGCTCAAAGCGCGCGCCTGGCGCGCAATGCGCTTGCCTCGCTTACTGCCGCCAACAAATTTTGTAAGTCCAGCAGAGTAGTAAGGAACATAGACTTATACTACCCTAATTATTTCCGCTTTTGGCCCGAAAAAGCTGCCAAAACAGCACTTTTTCGGCCAAAATCGTGCTTGTCATTGGTAATGTCATCGCTCCTTTTTGCTGGAAAAAGTGCACAAAACGGTCAATTTCCTGAATTCCCGAAAACCTCGTTCTTTTCGGTCAGAAAACAGGAGGCTTCCAGGGCTCAAAATTTTGGCAATATTGAATCAATATTGGTTCATTAATGGGCAAAGGTAAGCGGCATGCCGAGCTTGTCACCACTTGTCACCACTCTGCAGAGACGGGGCTTAACCACTGAGCCAAGGGAGCTTTTAGCTTCAGACTGCCGAGCTTGTCATCGATGTCATGCTTGGAAGTTAAGGCTCGGGGGTGCAGGGGGAAAGACAGCGCGTGTCCTTTCCCCGGGTCTGCACCCCTCTGCGGAGCCTTCTCAAATGCCCCCGTGGTCAACAATGCGTGTTCGACCAGGCGCCAGGTGTGTTACCTACCAATGAGCACCCCCCAGTTAGATAAAATCCCCTCAACCGACCAATTCACATAATATGTTTTCATCATTTCATAACAGAACCTCAACTCAAGATGTGATACATAAATTTTGTAAATATGTTTCTAAATTTTCAAAAATATTATTTTACAAAATTATCATTTTTCCCAAGAAATATACATCATAAATCTTACACTGTTTTTATTGTAAGGTTTATGGGTTAAATTTAATCATACATGAACATGTGTTCCTCCTTCCCAAGTTTCTGGGAGACCCTTCCCTCATTTTTTAAAATTGAGGAGACCCTTCCCACTTTTTGCAAAATTGGGGAGACCCTACCCACCATTTCACCATTTGGGAAGCACCCTGCTTGCCTGCCCACCATTTGGGAAGCACCCTGCTTGCCTGCCCACCATTTGAGAAGCACCCTGCTTGCCTGGCCACCATTTGGGAAGCACCCTGCTTGCCTGCCCACCATTTGGGAAGCACCCTGCCCACCATTTGGGAAGCACCCTGACCGACATTTTGGGAAGTTTCAACCACAATCCCAAACTCGTTTCCTTAATCCACCAAACTCGTCAAAATCTCACAAATCAATTCAGCAGGTATTTTGTATAAATCTTCCTGCTTATGTATTACATAATTATCCCCACATTCTGCTTTAGTTTTTGATGACGGTCGTTCCAACAGAACCACTGCCTGAAAATAATTCTAATAAATTCATTATTAGAAATATTTAGATTTTCATTATTCATAAAGTTTCTTTTCTTCGTTATACTTGATTTGGTAGTATTCTATACTGCTTGGCTTAGGTTCTTTTATTGATTTATTACTAATTTTAGTAACATAAATACGTTTCTTGCTTTTGTATTCGCTACTGTCTCTATCAACATCTTTTGACTGGTAACTATTATTGTTGCTATTGAAAGTTGGTTCGCTTTCCATTTTGTTTGCTATTCTGTCTACATTCCGCGCTATTAAAGTCAAACTGTCAGAGACATCTTCAACCATCTCTATTAGCATTTTTTCAACCTTTCCTTCCATATATACTATATTATAAAATATACTTTTAAAACTAAATGTTTAAATTATGTTAAATCGCTCCTTAAAATCCAATGGTATTACATTAAAACCTAATGACTTCGCAATCATTCCAGCTGAACCTGTGCCTGAAAATAATTCTAACAAGTTCATATTGTTTATTAGAATGATTTAGATAATGTTTTAAACATATACATATTTATCATCTTCCTTAATAATCTTATAGTATTCTAATGTTTGTTCTTTTGGACTTTTGATTTGTCCCTTATTTAACATATCACAAGATGTTTTACGCTTCGTGTCATAATCACCGCTGGGTCTGCCTATCCCTTTCTTTTCAAAGATCTTATCAATCTTTTCCTTCTCTTCATTGTTATTTTTTGGTTCGTTTGCCTTTGCATCAAGTTTCTGGTCAATAGTTTTTATCATCTCGTGCAACAGTTTAACATTTTTACTAACTGTCATTATCTTCCTTGATAGTTCAGCAATAGCATCATTCTCAACTTCAGACATTTCTATATATATTTATTTATATACTTATTTATTTAAATATTTATTTATGCGTTTTATTATACAGTTTGCCTGAATAATCTAATGTTATATATGTAAATAGATTATATTCTAACAGTCTGTCACCAATTTTATTGTTCATTTTTATTAAACCTTCCTCGTCACCTGTAATTTCAAAAAAATCAATATTTTATCAAACTTATCCGGTTTAGTTACACCTTTCATAAAATATTTATCGTTGAATTTAGCATCAAACCAATACAAATATTCTTCGCTCAATTGTTTAGCAAAGTTTTCATCACCATTGAATAGGTCTTTAATTTCTTCATCGTCAAAAGTTATAACTCTATGGTCTTCTCTATTCATAGTTGGCATTATGATTATACAAAAAAATAGATATTTATTTATTGAATTATTTATTTATAAAAGTAATTTAATGTAAAATCTACTCTTTAAATACTAATTTATCACCATTTTGTATTATAGTTGTGTTCCCAAGTTTCTTCGCGTGAGTTTCCGTTGGTTTCTTTGGTTTTCATTGTATGAATTATTTTTATCAATCTTCCACATTTACACGGCAGGCACTTAATGTCAGCACCGTCTTTATCAACTTTGATTTCATTAGCGCGATTGTCTTGTCCTGTTTGTTCTACATACTGATAGTCGCTATAATCATAATTTTCCATTGCTGTTAGTCTGTCTTCAATCGTTTTTATATTTTCGTCCATTGCTTTACTAATTTCTTTCTGTGTTTCTTGGTGGTTTTCTATTAATTCACTCATCTGTTCTTGTTTTCCTTTTTGTTCTTTTAGTGTCTTTTCAATTTTATCTTGTCCTTTTTTCTGGTCCTGCATTAATTTAACTATTCTATGTTCTTCTTGTGTTTGGTCATTAATTGTGCTTTTGACCATTTATATTAATATATTACATTTTTATTTTTGATATATTGTATTCCTAATTTTATTAATTCTAATGAACAATTGTTTAAATTTTGTAAAATCTACTCTTTAAATACTATGTTATCACCCTATTAAAACTAACATTGACTAAATGGTCATTTGTTTCTATTGTCATATCTCCGTCCTTCTTCTTCACTACACTCATTTCTTGGTCTTTCTTTTTGACTGATAACATACACGGAATACATTTAATATTAACACCGCCTTTTTTTATCTACTATTAATTCATTTTGAAAGTTCATAATATGATTACATTTATCACATTTTATTTCTTTACTCACACCTAATGATTTAACACTTACTGTTGTTTCTTTCCGAGCTTCAATATCTGGCATTGGTCTTTCATTATCTAATATTGAATTTGATTTTATCTTTTTCTTTTTTCCCATTTATATTAATATTTACATTTTTATGTGTGATATATTGCATTCCTAATTTTATTAATTCTCATGTATAAAAACATACTTTCTTACATCTGTTGTCAGTTATTATCACTTGTTCTATATTCTCTACTTCATCTATTATATCAATATAATCTGAATAACTTCTATCCATATAAATAATAAGATAAATTATTCTAATTCATCTTATTATTTCATGCATAATAGAATA